AGAAGGCTGGAATCCGACTCGCTATTGATTTCCACGACATGAGTGGGGATCCAGGCTACACTTCAGCTATGCTGGTCACCGACCGTTACTCTGGCTATATCTGGGACTATTATCTTCCAGATCGAACTGCACCAACGCTTATCGGTGCACTTGAGCATCTACTCAGAACACTAGAGCGACAACTCCAGTGTAGGCCCGAAGTCATCGAGTGTGATAACGAGATCCCGGATAGTCACCAGGTAAGTGACTTCCTCAGTATCAAAAACGGGATGCGCCTAGAGCCCTCCGCGCCATATGCCCAAAGTCAAAATGGCGGCGCAGAGCGCTCGGGGGGTGTGATCAAGGAGAAAGCTCGCGCGATGAGAATCGGAGCAAAGCTGCCTTCGTTCCTTTGGGTTGAGATCTGGCGTGCTGCCGTATACCTATACAATAGGACACCCAAGTATATCTACAATTGGAAGACGCCATATGAGCGTTTCTACACTTACTTTGCCTTTAGGGACGGCGTGGTTGTCACGGAGCGTAAGCCCGATCAAACACACCTACGCGTGTATGGCTGTAAAGCCTTCGCGATGACGACCGATGCTTTGAAAAAGAAGAATCGGCGACAACGACTCAATCCCCGAGGGTGGATAGGATACCTGGTCGGGTATAACTCGACAAACATCTACAGGGTCTGGAATCCGTTGACCAACAAGGTCATCTCCACTAGAGACGTGATCTTCAACGAGAAGGAGACGTTCTCTGGGGATGTCCAACACCTCAAGGATGATTTAAAAGAACTAAACGAGGAAGAACTTATTCAGCATCTCACTGATACTGAGGTCCCACAGGGATCTAGCATCAATCTGGATGCTTCTACGCAAGAAGAAGACGAGGAATTAAGCGCCTTGCCTGAAGGACTAGCGTTTGAGCGGGAGGCTGCAAGTTATCCACATAGAGGGTTTGAACGTGATCCCACGATTACGCAGGGTGAGACTGGCAGGACACTAGTCGTAGGAGATCGCAATCGAGAAGAGCCTGACGGGACTGATCACCCCTACACGACCGCTCGATTCACTCCCTACCTGACCCCGGAGACTTGCCCTCTACGGCCTGCTGCCCTTCTGGTCGCTACTATCAGAGAACCTCCCGTGAGGAAGGAGGGGGAAAACCCCCCTCGGTTACGAGCTGCCAAGATGGTGCATGTCCCACCTAGCGCTGGCACTTCCCCGGGACGAGATGGCGCAAATGGAGCCCTTCGTGTCATTTCAACTCCGAGCAGTTACTGGGAGGCCGCATTTAATGCCGGTCGACTCGCATCTGTGAAAGGGACCTGGAATGGCAAGGTGGTGAGTAAGCGGAAGCTCGAGAAGCAGGCGAGCTCGGCCAGCTGCCACCCTGATAGCAGAGAACCTCAGTCTACGGGAAGTCGACGGGAATCTACTAAGCTGATGGATTCTCCCAATCGCAAAACACAATCTGCAAAGCTGACAGATTTAGGTGACGGCCAACGCCGAATACACCGGCGAGACATGCCAATATTGCCAAAAAGGCACAAAGACCTCAAGAACCATCCACTAGGTGACCTATTCCGCGAGGCAGAAAAGACTCATCTTGAAAGTCATAAAGAAATGCGCTCCTGGCGTGAGGTTCAGAGAGAAGAAGCCGCAGGCAAGGAACTCCTGGACTGCATGTGGGTTTATGTGTACAAGTTCGACAAGCACGGATGGTTCACCAAGTGCAAGGCCCGGCTCGTTGTACGAGGCGATCAACAGGCCAAGTCGACACACGAGGATACCTATGCATCCACACTTGCCGGCAGATCTTTCCGAACACTCATGGCTATAGCTGCTCGATTTGATTTAGAACTTCTCCAGTATGATGTCGTCAACGCCTTTGTCAATGCTGAACTGAAACAGGACGTCTACATGCGGATGCCCGGAGGCTACCGAAAGCCTGGCCTGATCCTCAAACTTCAGAAAGCACTATACGGCTTGCGCCAGTCACCATTACTTTGGCAAAAGGAACTAACCACCACCCTTACGAACATTGGGTTCAAGTCTGTACCTCACGAGCCATGCTGTCTCTCGAAAGGAGGAATATTGATATTCTTCTATGTGGACGACCTCATTGTTGCCTACGAGAAGACCAATCAAAGATCGGTCGAATGGACGATAGGCAAGCTTCGAGAAAAGTACCAACTCTCTGGAGGAGATACGCTACAGTGGTTTCTTGGAATTGAGATTATTCGCGACCGAAACCAACGTCTGATTTGGCTGTCGCAATCGTCATTCGTGGATAAGATCACTAGTCATTTTAGGATTCAAGGGGGAAAGCCTTCCCTCACTCCAATGACCACGAAAGAACTTCTTCCGAACGAAGAGCGCGCATCAACAGCATCAATACAGCAGTATCAACGCAAGACCGGATCAGTGCTCTACCTGGCAGTAATCACTCGACCCGATATTGCCTTTGCTGTTTCTCGACTTTGTCGATTCAATATGAACCCGAGCGACGATCACCATGAGGCCTTGGACCACCTATTGCGGTATCTGCAAAACACCAGGGCACTCGCACTACAACTCGGCGGAACAGACACTTTTGATGTGTATAGTGACGCTTCCTTTGCCGATAACACAATCGATCGGAAGAGCTCGCAAGCCTACGTGATGAAGCTATTTGGAGGGACTATTGGATGGCGCGCCAACAAGCAGGACACCGTGACTACCTCTACAACAGAGGCGGAGTTGCTGGCACTTGCGCAGGCTGCGAAGGAGTCCATGTTCATCTCCAGATTAATCACCGAGCTCGGCGTGACCCTTGACAACAGAAGCATCATCATTCAGTGCGATAACGCGCAGACCATTCGGCTTATTAATTCCGACGTGGCGCTCCTGCAGACCAAACTTCGACACGTCGACATCCATAACCACTGGCTACGCCAGGAAGCACTCGCTAACCGGATTTCGGTCCGGCATATTCCCACCACCGAGATGATTGCGGATGGCCTCACGAAGGCATTACCCGCTCAGCAGTTCCAGAAGTTCGTCATGCAGGTTGGCCTAGTGGATATTAACGATAAGATTCAAGAGAGAAGGTTCAAGGAGCTCACTGCGGAGGACTTTGTCAGAGCAGAGGAACAGCTTGATGGATGAAGAGCCGAATAAGGGATCGGAAGGATGGCCAACCTGACAATAGGAATACGGACTGCACAGACTGAGCCACGATGGCCAGTCTGGGGGGGTGTGTTGAACAGGTGCTGGGGTCTCACGTGCAAGCAGGGATACTTTAAGATTACAGCCGAAATGGTAAAACCTCTAAGGGGTAGATTTCAACTGAACACAACATGAATACACCAATTCACATCAATGAACCGAATACACGTAATGTTTGACAATTACAACCGAAATGGTAAAACCTCTAAGGGGTAGATTTCAACAGAACACAACATGAATACACCAATTCACGTCAATGAACCGAATACACGTAATGTCTGACAGTTATATCTTTATAGCGTATTAAATACTTTACTTTAAGTCATTTTAAAGAGCAAGAAGGGCAAGAAGGATCTTAGTTTTATTTAAATGTTATAACATATTATTTAGTTAATAACTAATTAATCAAATAAAAAGTGTAATATAAGAGGGAAAAGTGCGGTGCTCGCTTATCTGCGGCGCTCGCTTATCAAGCACGTTAAGGTATTTCGGATATGTTATCTCCTCTGTTGTCATAAGCCTCCAAAGCGGTCACAAGAGGGGGTTTAGGCCAATCAGATTTTAAATAGAAGTCGGTACATCGAGCAGTGAGACAAGGTCATTACAGAAGGGGAATAACGAATTAAATTTGCGAACCAGCTCACCTAGTCAAAATTGAGGTTAACCCATTACAAAAGGCGACAACTCCTTAGACTCTTGTTCAGGCGAAGTCCTGGTCACTTTCTCGTACGTGCGGTTCAGTGGGTCAAGGTACGACTTGGAGGCTTATGACAACTCAGGAGATAACGGCTCCGTAAATATTGCTGGCGAGGTCAAGATGGTTTCTTAATCCAGAATTAACCACCAGTAAACGGTTTCGTGTTACACCAGAATTTCGGTGGAATAGCATGATTCCTAGTGAGTTACCCAACTTAACCGCCCTCAACGGAGGTCTGCGCAGTTTCATAGACTGTTACAGCGCGATGTTGCTGGGCAATGACCGCCAGGAGCTTCACCAAGATGGCCCCGTTTCTAACAGGCCTTTGGTTCTTGAATTTTGCCGTAGATGGCTTCCATGGCCCACAGGCTGAACCTCGCCATCAGCTTATCAAGCGATGAGAGGCTGGTTGTCATAGAGCTACATTCATGTCCTTACTGCTACACTGTTTCCTCACCATGCGTCCGCGCACAGTGACACCTCCCAGCAATAGCGCGTGACGAAGAGAAGATAAACATTGGCGTCAAGGGGCGTTTGATACTACATATTAGCGTTATGCCTTTTCGCCGCTGACTAGAGAGGGTGTGGTGGTGGAACACAAAGTTGCCAAAATGACCACTTGGTGACGAAGTGGGGTGGGGCACCGCTGTGGTGAAAGGCAGGGGTCCAACCCCGCACTGCAGGCATAGGGGTAGACAAAGCCTGGTCCAAATCGACATCTACTTGCAAGGGCTTTTTGATTGATTTTGATTTGAATGATGGATCAACCACGATGTAAAGAAACAGGTTACCCTTTACTCGATAACGAGCTACACCACACCTTTGAATCAGGGTCTTCATGCCCCGAGGCTGCATCACCATGGCTCTACGGCAGGATACCTCATTCCGCTCGGCGGACATGAGCATGGTGCAACTGTACGTCTCCAACGACATCGATCGGGAGGTTGTCACTGCCCTAGGCGAGCTGGGATTATGCCAGTTCTGCGACGTAAGCCTCCATGCCCACACCAAGCCCTCGATACAGGCTACTCATCTGTCATTTCAGCTCAATGAGAATGTCAGCTCCTTTCGGCGAACTTTCGCCCGGGAGATCCGACGCCTTCACAATGTCGAACGACAGCTGCGTACGTCGTTGCAACCCTCGGAAAGTATTCGGCCTAACGGGACAGGAAGCAGGTTACTTCTATGTGCAGATGAGAAAGGCCGGAATCACACTTCGAAAACTTGACCTTGATGCTGAGAGGCTTGCATCGCCGTCTATCTCGGAAATTGACCAACTCGCTGGGCGAAGCCAGAAGCTTGAGCAGCGCATCTTCGCGCTGAACGATAACTACGTGACCCTCAAGAAGCGTGAGCGTGACCTCATTGAATGGCGCTGGGTACTGTGGGAGGCTGGTGGCTTCTTTGATCGCGCTCTCGGCAACGTGGAGGAGATTCGAGCCTCTACACACAACGATGACGCGCCATTGCTCTCCGACCTTGAGGTGCATAACGCTGCGCCTGACGTCGAGAGATTATATTCCGGCATAGAAATCAACTTCGTCGCTGGCGTCATCTCCCGGGATCGGTGTGCTACCTTTGAGCGGATTCTTTGGCGAACTCTTCGTGGCAACCTGTACATGAAACAGTCGGAGATTCCGGAGCCGCTGACTGACCCTACGAGTAACGAGGCTATCAAGAGGAATGTCTTTCTCATCTTCGCTCATAGCAAAGAGATTGTCGCAAAGATCCGGAAGATAGCTGAATCTATGGAAGGTGAGGTATACAATGTCGATGAGAATAGCGACCTCCGACGTGATCAGATTCACGCGGTGAACAATCGTCTCGAGAACGTTCAGAGCGTCCTTCACAATACCCAGACTATTCTTGAGGCAGAGCTCAACCAAATTGCGCAGTCTCTGTCTGTCTGGATGGTGCTCATTGCAAAAGAGAAAGCTGTATACACCACACTCAACCTGTTCTCTTGCGATCCTACCCGCGGGACCCTCATCGCTGAGTGTTGGTGTCCCACGAAGGATTTGCCTCTAATTAGAACTACTCTCCAGGACGTTACAAACCGAGCTGGCCTCTCCGTCACGTCCATCATCAATGAGATACGAACCAACAAGAAGCCACCTACTTATCTGAAGACCAATAAATTCACCAAAGGCTTCCAGACCATTGTCAATGCGTATGGTACAGCCATATATCAGGAGGTTAACCCGGCAATGCCTGTCATTGTCACCTTCCCTTTCCTCTTTGCTGTAATGTTTGGCGACTTTGGACACGCTGTTATCATGCTCTCTGCTGCGTTGGCCATGATCTATTGGGAGAAGCATCTGAAGAAAGTTTCATTCGAACTGTTCGCCATGATCTTCTACGGCCGATACATTGCGTTAGTTATGGCCATCTTCTCTTTATTCACCGGCCTCATCTACAATGACGTCTTTTCCAAGCCTATGACCCTATTTGACAGCGCTTGGAGGTTCAACAAGCCGGGGGGCGGGCAAGAAGAAATGCCTGTTTCTGGAACATTAGACGAAGACGGCTACCGCTATCCATTCGGTCTAGATTGGGCATGGCATGGAACAGAGAACGATCTTCTCTTCAGCAACAGCTACAAGATGAAGATGAGCATCATCCTTGGCTGGGCTCACATGACCTACTCGCTTTGCTTCTCCTACATCAATGCGAGACATCTCAAGAAGCCTATTGATATCTGGGGTAACTTCCTTCCCGAAATGATTTTTTTCCAGGCTATCTTTGGTTACCTCGTCTTTTGCATTATCTACAAGTGGTCGGTGGACTGGTTCGACACTGGTGCGCGGCCGCCTAGCCTTCTGAACATGTTGATTTACATGTTCCTGCAGCCTGGAACCCTTGACGAGCGCTTGTACGCTGGCCAAGAATATGTTCAGGTCATTCTGCTCTTAATAGCTTTTGCCCAGGTCCCCATTTTGCTCTTCCTCAAGCCCTTCTTTCTCCGTTGGGATCACAACTGTGCCCGTGCTACCGGGTATCGTGAGATCGGCGAAACCTCCCGTGTTAGCGCCCTAGACGGCGACGATGAGAGCGAGGGTGTTGCAATGATTACCCAGAACATTGGTGAAGATCACGAGGAGTTTGAGTTTGGCGAGGTCATGATTCACCAAGTCATCCACACTATTGGTAAGCTGCTGCTTTATCTGCAATCGAGGGGGCATTGAATCCTAATCTGTACCTACAGAGTTTTGCTTGAACTGCGTTTCCCACACTGCTTCCTACCTACGTCTCTGGGCTTTGTCGCTAGCTCATCAACAACTGAGTGTGGTACTTTGGAACATGACTCTCGGCCCTGCTTTGAAGACGGGAGGCGTTGTCGGCGTCATTATGATTGTCGTCTGTTTCTATATATGGTTCCTCCTCAGTAAGCTCAGTGTTCAATTCCCCTGCAACAAGATCGACACTGACAAGCTTTGTAGCGATTGCCATTTTGGTGTGCATGGAGGGTACGAGTGCCATGTTGCACTCGCTCAGATTGGCGTGGGTTGAGTCCTTCTCGAAGTTCGCAGAGTTTGGAGGTTGGCCGTTTGCACCATTCTCGTTCAACACTATGTTAGAGGAGTCGGAGGAGTTGAAGGACTACGTGGGATGATGTAACATATTCACGAGGGACAATACTTCCCCGATTTCTTCCCCGATTTCTTTTCTGCAGTCTTAGCCATATTGTACGATAAACAACATAATGCACCCTGGGAGTTAACTCATCTGTGCCACTCGCCCTAATATTCCGCTTGATAATCCTGTCTCATGTGTTGAGGGTCCAGAACTGCGGTCCTACCTGAGCACATGACCGAACGTTGAAGGGATTCCTCCAAGAAGTTGTCTAGGAAGGACGATGCGTTGGTGTCCCTTAACTGTTGGAAAAATTGGGAATCCCCCTTATCTTCAGGATTCAGACTGTTAGTCTAAAAGTCCTAGATTTAAAGTTCAAAGTCCTAGATGAAATTAACTAGAGATATAAAAACCCGAGAAGAACTCTCATCTAAACAATGAACAACCAAGTTTTACAAAATATATTTTCACCCAGCACTACTGCGCAATATAAACAACATTTAACTCTGTGAGCCAAAAAACTTCACGTTCCAGACATAAATGGGCTTGGGGTCCGGGCTCGGCACGATGTTCTTGGCTTGCCCACAAGGCCCACGAATCCCTGAAATAGACCTTCCCCGCCACCGGTATATTTCCACCTAGTGGGGCTGACTTTAACCCCACTGACTTGATCCTGAAGCTTGTGTGGCTTATTAGGCAGCCCGTCGATTTATGCTGGGGCTGACGGACTGAGTGGTTGTCTTGGGCACTTTGTAAGGACCTGGTTCGTGCTAAAGGCTGGTCTGCAGGTCAATGCAGAGCCCATTGATGGATTATTAAAGTTCTAAATATATTCTGAGAGATAGAACGCATGTATATAGATACACTTATATTCCCCGCCATCCTCGTGAAGTGCCTGGGCCAATTTGCCCTCGAGGTTGAGAATTTGAGGATCAGGAAAGCAGATCAGAGTGGGCTACCGGTCAAGCAGCCAAACATATGCATGCCTTTATTGGGTATCATTCTGTGTGTTTTACGTAATGCCGCTCGCAGCAACGGACCTCCATGTCTTACTAGAGTCCAGGCTACTTAAAACAGCCATTTCAGCTAGAGGGCCGTCAAAATTATTCCATTTGTTAACCTAAGAAGCTCTGGGTGAAAGTGCGGATGACAGCCCGTAATTTAGCCTTAAGGCCTTTGCTGATCGTTCCTCCCATATCCAAAGCAGCCATCAGCTCCAACTCGTTGATCTTAAGGTGCGCCAAGAACTCGGTTTCCCATCGCTCGATTCTGTAGACAGGGACCTTATCGATGTACCCGTTAACACCAGCGAATATAACAGGAACCATCTGGTTGACAGCCATAGGAGAGTACTGCTTCTGCTTTAGGAGTTCAGTCAACTGTTGATACTATGATTAGATTCATAGTTTTACGAAGAATAGTTTTTAATTGCTCACACGTTCCCCTCTGCGGAGAGTTTGATTCATGGAGGCATCTGAGCCGGAATTAAACCGGACAAAGGAAGCCACTGAACGATACCGGGTCAAGAAAAGTTCAAGGGGCCTGCGACTTGTTTCATAACCTTGAGCTGTACGCAAGAACCAACACGCGACACAGACAGAGCGACGTTAACGGTAGATCTGATGCCATTATAGAACTTTTCGGCATCCAAAAAGATAAGGCCGTCAGTAATGGAAATGACATTAGTAGGAATGTAAGCGGACACGTCTCCACCTTGAGTTTCAATAATAGGAAAGGCAGTCATTGAGCTACCACCATGCTTGTCACTCATCTTGACTGCACGCTCAAGAAGTCGAGCGTGCAGATAGAAGATGTCACCAGGGTAAGCGGCACGTCCCGGGGGACGACGAAGAACTGTCATTTGACGATAGGCAGCAGCGTGCTTGGAGAGATCATCATAGATAACTAGAGAGTGTTTGCCGTTATCCCGGAACCACTCGCCGATTGAAGTGGCGGTGAACGGGGCGAGGTACTGGAGAGGCGCAGCCTCGGAGGCAGTCGCAGCCACCACAACAGTGTACTTCATGGCGTCATTTTCCTCTAGCCTCTTAATAAGTTGCGCAACTGTAGATCGCTTCTGCCCAATGGCGACATAGATGCAGTACAGCATCTTAGTCTCATCAGAGTCGTTGTTCCACCGTTTCTGATTAAGGATGGTGTCAACGGCAATGGCCGTCTTCCCGGTTTGACGATCGCCGATAATCGCCTCACGTTGGCCACGTCCAATGGGAACCAAGGTATCAATGGACTTGAGACCGGTCAGGATCGGTCGGTTTAGGGGACAACGGGTTAGGATGCCAGGCGGCTTCACTTGGGCTCGGCGCTTTTCCTGGGTGTAGATGGGACCCTTTCCATCGATGGGATTCCCGAGGGCATCAATTATACGACCAAGCAACTCTGGGCCCACAGGGACATCCACCTAAGAAAAGTTAGCACCTAATCATAATCTTAAGAGGGCCCGATTACTCACGAGTTCTCCAGTACTGTTAACAGTCTCACCTTGCCTGACAAAACGGTCGGAACCGAAGTTCATACACATTCCCTTGAAGCCAGAGGCAAATCTTTTCGACGTTAGCTCCGCAGCCTCCTTCTGGGCAAATATTAAACATACTCGACAAGCTCCTCTGCTTGGGCATCAGCCATGCCATGCACACGGGCAACACCGTTCCTGCACACGCGTCAGGTTGGGACACCTGGTATAATTGACCCACCTGTCATGATTTCATGGCTATTGCCACTGGGAACTTGGTAGTTGCAGCCAGTCCCTAGTGTCGCATGTACCCATCGTCAACGTACCTGATAGAGAGAACGTGGCCAGACTCAGAGGGATCATTCTCTTCGACGCCGCGAGTTCGCTGTTCGAGTGAGGGTGAAAACGCCGTGGTAATAGCCTTTACACCAGAAATATAGAGTCGGGCTAGTATCGAGGAGGAGTTGGTAGCTACTAGCTGTGCATTCTGAGCCTAAGTTCAAAGGTAAGTTAACGGGATACAGAAAACATTATTTAGGGCAAACACGAGGACGCATGGTTGGATGGATAAATAAGCTGCCTCCCGTGTGTACAACATCCAAAAAGTTAGAATTAGTAGAGTTGGGCAAGGTTAATTTAGGCTACACTTACGATAGTGTTCCCGGTCGTAGCAGAGGGAGCAGTGCGAATGAACTGCCGAAGACCACTTCGAAGCATACTGAAAGGACGTAGAAGAGACTCTATGGCGAGGGAGAATTGATTCCAGTCATGTGTAATTGAAAAGGGGATTATAGCGTAGAATATGTTTTGGGAGACGACCTGGGGCGGAAAGGGATACCTATTATGATGTACGTCGAAGTGGGGGTGACATCACGATTGCGAGACAGTTCGTGGTAGTCTGCATTGCTTATTATGTACTAAAACTCTGTACATCTTCTTGGCTGTCGTAAGCCTCTACCCGTACCTAGTCCTACATGGCCTATGCGATGACGAAAGTACCTGCAGGGAACCTCAAGCCCGTCCCAAAACCATTACAACTAAAATTACGCACATTTCATTTCTCTAAGCTAAATACCTTCCCAGGAGGTACCTTCTCAGGTACCGGCAGTCAATGCCTAACGGGCATGATAAGCGCGTGCACCAAACAAGTGTACAAATATTTCCACTTTACACGTTAAATTTGAACTTTAAAAAATTCCTAAAAATCTAAGCTAGGCCTAAAGCTAATAAAAACTAGGAAATGCATTAATTAAGTGGAGATATATAGGGCCTGAGAGGTCATAAGGCTGCAACACGGTACCGAGAGGGGCTGTAGCCAATTAAAATGCAACGAACAAGAGGTACTTCTATCGCTACCTAAATTACGCGGTGATAGAAGTACCCGCAGGTTTCGTCACTACAAATCGGTGCGTCACATATCTTACACCCGTACCTAGTCTGCCGACCATGATGCCTTCCTCTTGCGTTGCCGCTGATTCCAGCGAAAGCACGCCTTTTTGGGCCCTTTAACCTTATCTGCCCTTGCCGGAAGCCCTGACAAGCTAGGCGCCTTGAACCACGATAGTCATGGTTGATGTTCCTATCTATGTATTTTTGCCGTGTTTCTTGATCATCGATGTCCTCCTCAGCCCCTGACTGATATCTCTTTCTTGCTTGATTTTCTTGATGATATGTGTTAAATAAGGGGTTTGAAATGCACTTCCGCCAATCCTCCTGTGACGTATATCTCTCCCAATTTGGCTGGGGACCATGCAGTTAAAGGGTGTAGCTATTAGGAAGTGCAACATCGAGAAGGAAAGTCCAAATAAGTGCCTGCCAAGGGCCACGCTGCAGAGGGTGATCATAGCTTGTGTATGGCCTCAATTGGTCACCTCGGTCAACGTGATTCAGTTCATCGTTGTAAGCGTCATTTGGTGGTGGATGGAACTTGTTTCATTGTGCTCGTGGCTAGTGTAGAGTCAGTGGGCTTGTGACAGGAATCACGCCACAGATCTGTCAGATAAACTCAATAATTTAACCAAGAGTATGTGCAAGGTCCCTACTCTAAGACCAACAAACCACCCGTACCCAAAACACCATGCCATCTATATCCAAAGAAACACCACTACCGACTAACGTATTTCACCGCCACCCCGTACACCCCCCCACCCCACACACCCATGATAACCTCACAACAGAATCTGTAGATGACTTCAATCAATTATATAACAACAAGTATTTATTCAATTAATTTAAGATTTTGGATACTGATTAAAGAATGTACTCTCAACCGTTGGTATTTTTGGCGGCTTTTTTCTACGTGGTTTTCGCCTGTTTTCCTCAACCTGACGTAAGACATTCTTTTCGGCTTGATCTCGTGCTGTGATGATCTGTTCAATCTCAGGAAAAGCTTGGTTGGGGTTAAATTGAACGGGGACTCGACCTGTAGGAGCTTTTGCTGCTGCTGACGCTTTAAGTATAGCTTTTTCCTCTTCTAGGTGCTGTATTTGGCTGTTCTTCTGGTCAATTGACTTCATCGCCTTCTTCAGGATACAATTGAAGTCGCGAATTGATAGATTTCCGTCTTTTTGAGCCTCTTGGAGCTGTTTTTGGATATCTTTACTTCCTTGAGGCGTTACCCACACGGTCTCGGCAACTACCTGCCGCTTCCTTGGTGTTGTAGGCGCTTCAAATGACTTGCGTTTCTTCTCTTTGGGCTTCAAAGATTGCAATGCCTTCTGTATGTCGATTGGGAATAGACCAGTGGCTGAGAAGCCATTTATTATGTTCCTACGAGTCAGGGCTTTCCGGGAAGCCTCTTTATAAGCTTGTAGGAATAGTTGTTGCTGATGTGGCGAGGTCGCTTCGTATGAGGCCCAAAATCGGGTCAATTGGCGATAGTACCGTTTTAACGGTCCAAATACGGCAACATCGAGCGGCTGTGTAATATGTGAAGAATGTGAGGGTAACCAAGAGAGCCAAATCTTGTTCAACCAAGCCTTTTTCATCAATTCTGCTGTTATGTGTGACTTGTGCTGGTCCAGGACTAAAAGTCTCCATTGGGACGGGTCTGACGGCGTAGTCTCTGGTATAAATACCTCCATAAACCATTTGAGGAAGATGTCGGCGTTGGACCAGCCCGTAGGACTCGTAGTGTACTTCCAGTCAGGGAAAACGCTCGGAAACCACTGTCCTTGGAGGTTTTCGCCGGTAAAAACGACCGTTGGGGTGAGACGCCGTCCGTCTGCTGATATAGACTCCAATATCGAGCTCCAAGTCGAATTGTCTGACTTGATACGCTCTGAACTAGATGTCATGACGGTCCCGGCCACAGTCCCGCCGTTGGTTTCCCCTATTTGGACCCCAGTCTCGTCGACATTATACGAATGTTGCCGTGAGATGTTTTTGGACTCGATAACCCAGTTGAGACCGTGATAGTACTCACTAAGCGTCTCCTTCGTGACGCAACGCTTCCTCGCAGCATCTATGACTCTCGATGGCTTCATTTCTATAGTCTGATGGCGGGATATGAGTCTGTCGACCCAGTTCTTGCCGAGATACGAGATGTCCCCGTTGACCGCTGACAAGGCTTGTGCAAAGTCGTGTATTTCCTGCTTCGTCAGAGGCTGAAAAGCCCGCTCTCTCTCGATAATATAGTTAACAAGGTCTTCATCCTGTATGACCGTTAGCGACAAGTCTTTCTGACGTGCCGTTGTGATGTCTTGGGCTCCGGCGCATCGATCTCTCAAAGTCGACAGCTTGATCGAATGTTTTCGCGCCGAAGCTCGCAATCCAATCAACTTTTGGTCCTTTACTGCTAATAACATCCTATATTCATAATCTGATACTTGCGAATTCATTTCCGCTGATAGAAAAAAAAAAGGATTTAATTTGAATTTTATAGAAGTAAATGAAGTGGATTGTATTGATGACGCGTTGATGGTGTTGTGGTGTGCGGGGTGGGGGGGTGTACGGGGTGGCGGTGAAATACGTTAGACCATAGCCACCGCCCAGTTTGTTACAAGCGCACTCGTCAATGTGTCAAGAGCAGCGGCATGCGGCTTGTCAATATGCAATACAGCGACTGACCCGACGGGCGCGATGGGGCAGCAGGTCGGTGGCGCGCTGCGTAGCCCCGCCACGGACGTTCGAGACATGAGAGCGGGCTCCACAGCGTGGCAGAGGGTGTGGCGAAAGTGGTGCAGTGGAAGGGGGCCTTAAGGATGATCTGGAGGGATTGATGAGGCTTTTCTTGGTTGGGAGAACAAGGTGAGGGATACTTCCGCTTTATATTATAACGTGCATGATAAGCGAATGTCGCAGACAAGCGAATGTCGCGCCGAGCCGCACCCTCACGATTCCCTACCCTGCAAAATGAACCAAATCATCATCAATCGACTCAAATTTACTATGATGTAATTCTTAAGATACTGCTACTTCTATCTGGCAACTTCGTGCGTTATGTCCTGTCCTGCCGCAGACACCACATCGTCGTTGTTCTGACCCTGCCTTCCGCTTGAGACGCCCATTACCGCGACTTTCTTCTTGTAGTTGCACATCAACATCATTTTGGCCCTGCAGATCTTGACTCTGACGGAGCGTTAGGCTTCCTCCTTGCCTCAAACGTTTCTTCTTGACATTTTGACGCCGGCTAAGTGTCTCATTCTCCTCTCGAAGGATCTGCACTTCCGACTTCAATAGGGCGATCTGATGCATAATTCCCCCGTGCTCCTTTAGCAAACTGATCTACAGCATCCAATATAGATGTTGGAGAGCTTCCTTGGTGTCTGGAGATTCGATTCTTAATAAAGTCTGATTGTGAAGTCGCCTCAATCGGATTGTTTGGCGTCTTCGATACCCAAGGTACCGGCAACTCGTCGACCCCCAAAACTGGTGTCGGCGTCCGTAGCTTCACATCAAGCTTAGAAATCACGCTCTCCGAGTTCAAAGGCGCAAGACCTGTCCCTCGGAAGCCTCCCCGGATGTTTTTCTCTGTCATAGATTCTCGGAATGCTGTGTAAAATGCGGAAAAGAAGTCGTCCTTGCTGATATGGCTTGTACCCGCCCTCATCTTCTTCTCGATTTGTCGACCGTATGCTTGCTTGAGCGGGCCAAAACATCCAACATCGAGAGGCTGAAGTATATGGGATGAGTGAGCAGGCATACAGAGAGTTATAATCTTGTTTTCCTTGCAGTACGTCTCAAAACCTGCCGAGTGGTGACTTTCATGACCATCTAGGATGAGGAGGCGATAATCACCCGTAGTTCGTGACTTGGAGTGCTTGTCGAAATGCTTTACCCATTCTAGGCCAATTTCGTTTGTTGTCCAGCCATTATTAGTCGTGGCGATGACCCAATCTTGCGGAAGCGGGCTATCTTGATACCAGGTCGAGAGGTGATTTTTGCCCGCAACAACGACGAACGGCGGCACGCACCAACCCTCCGAACTGACGCCTTGGATCACCGTAACCCATTCCCGGTTTCCAGGCTGGGCCAATTTTGCGTTGGAACTTCTTTCTGCACTTGTAACAACCATACCAGTTGAGATAACGCCCATCATAAAGCCAGTCTCATCAAAGTTGTAGATATCCGTCGCGTCAATGCCATATTTGGCAATTGTGTTCTCCACGAGCGCGAACCAGCCCCGAATAACCTCTGGATCTTCGCATTTGGCCCTTTTGTAGTCATATCTGCGAAAACGACGCGTCTTTAGCTCTGGTTGTCGCTTGATAAAGTTAGAAGCCCAGCGCTTGCCGACAGGCGACGCGTCGCGGTCAGCGAGCAGTTTATTAGCCATATCTTCTACATCACGAAGGCGGGGAGGAAATGATCGTGAGTCCAAGTCAAGAACATATTGCACAATGGCTCTCTCTTCTAGATCCGTGAGCTTTCTTGAATTAGCCGCAATATCGCGTCTAGATGGCATGCCATGCTGGCGCCGTTGAAGTTTCCTGGGATCCACGGAGTAGATCATGGCGACTGCTCGGGCGCTAAGATTTGGGTCGTTTTTTAAAGCCCCGAGGGCTAACATTATTTGACTTTCATCATTTTTCTGGGTCATCTTAAGTGGTGAAGAGAATCGAGGTTGATTACCCGTAGTCACGTTGGCGTTGTGGAGTGCGACATTCGCTTATCATGCACGTTAGTCGGCGTGACTTTGTGATAGTATCGCGCCGAGACTGGATGCCCTTGTGCCGGCGCCATAGTGTACCATAACCAACCTTATAGGTCTTTGCAGCGCGTTTAAGACCTAACTTAGGGTTATTCTAATAGGCATGAAGCGCAAGAAGGATTCTAGCTTCGTAATCTTTCTGAGCCATGCTTGGTGGCGAAGAATCGATTGATTTAGTAGAGAGGGTGCAGGATGAGGGATTTTTGACCCACTCGCTTGTTTGATCCACTCGCTTATCACGTACGTTACGTGTAATAGCAATTAAAATGGACCGAGGCCAAGACTTTGCCTTTTGTCGGGCTAGCAGCTCTGAAGACCCCAATTTTAAATCATCCCATATCAGCGGCATATCCCATCAGACCCCGTCTTTTCGTTGCAGGCATTCGAATTATTTGCCGCTGACCGACTCAAAGTATTCAATTGGGGAAACCCCATCACTCCGAAGCCCGTTGATGACATGGCTTACTTGAACCAATGACACTTATGTCTCGGGTACCACCCGATCGGCAACAGGCCTTGAACCTGGGCTTACGGAGCCTCCGTAATGCCTTGATTGGCCAACGCAGGGGTCGAGACCGTTTCGTCATGGAGGGGTAATGACATATCGCGGGCATCATCAGTGCAGCAAAGAGGGACAATTCAACTGAAGGAGTGACTTATTTTTTTGGTGGGGCTACATACAAAAATAAGGTATCTAATTTATTCCCCAGTCACCCGCCCCTTTCCCTAGTCAGCCTACCCCCCGTGCTTGACGCACGGGCACCTACGGTGGAAAGGAAAGCACGGGGGGTCGGTCTCTAGACCCTACCCGAGTAGTACCATCCACAACCCCTCTTTTGCCATACCCCCTCTTTCGCCAGGCAAAATAAAAAAAGCTCCACCAAAAATCAACAACTTCACTTATACAGAATTTGACTAAATTGACAGAAATGCTTGAAATTTTTCGTTTCACAAATAATAAGTAGATTTCTCTACTATGCCCTAAGTTTTTTCACCAGCCGGCCCGACCGCCTGATGGGTTGGTGGGGTGTGTTTCCTCTCTGACTTCTATGACCGAGCCAGCCTCCGATTCTGGCTCCTGCTCGCTTGAACAGACAGATTCCACCCCAACAGGCATATATTGAGTCTCTATTTCTAGTATGGTTTCTCCATCGGATAGGGTCTCCCCAAGAGTCATGAAACGTTTGTTAGGATTCGGCACCGTCTTCCTCTTCTTCCCTCTCTTCAGGCGAGTCAATTCTTCCTCTAGGCTAGCAATCCTCGCATTATGCGCCGCTACCGTCTGCTGTTAAGCCTCAAAGCCCTTGGCTATCACATTGTACCGTCTCCGCGTCGTTGGTGTTCTATTTAGCCTAAGATCACGAAGTTGACGGCTCGTCTGTAGTATGTTGTCTAAGTCAAAATACGGCCTGGGTTCAGGAGTCACTCTTGGGCTGCCTATCTTGTTGGATTTCAGGGTGCCGTAACACTTTCGCACGTGAAATGGGCCAGTTTCCAGTGACCCTCCAGCCAGACATTATGTTCTTCTTAGTCATTCTAACTCGGCGAGCCTTGGCGTAGGCCCTGATGAAATTGACCTTGTCCATTGGAGCGGAATCAGTCAACGAAGCGAACTTTTCCAACTCTCGTCGATATGCAGCCTTCGAGGCATTGAATACTCCATTGTCCAGTGGTTGGAGTCCATGAGAGCAGTGTGCTGGCAGATAGCAGCAATAATCGTTGTTCAAAAAGCACGTGGCCATTCATTCATCCTTCCATCACTCAGCACTGATCTTGAGGTGGGGAAAATGAAGAACATACTGTCGCATGGCTTCCATGACTATCTAAAATGATTAGTCTGGCGTCTGAGTCGTCAGCAGGCGTGGCCTGGGGCAGATAGACTCTTTCGAGCCATTCAATGCCAATGTGGTCGTCAGTCTACCTGTTAGGCGATGTTATGTAGTACCAGTCTGCTATCTGCTTGAACTCCTTAAGAAACCACTGTTCCTGCAGTTGTTTCCCCTTGAATATTTTGCCAGGAGTCAAAGCGCGGCCGTCAGCAGTGATAGCTTCGATAAATGAAGTCCACTTTCGAGTTTGTGGTCCCTTGAGAAACGCCTTGCGTTTCGGGTCCGCGCTTCCAACAACCAGGCTATCTAGGCCTGAATAAAGAGGATTAGTCAGTTAAAACACAAGCATTGACAAGGATTAGAGGCATATTCTTGCCGAAACCAGTCATAATACCCTCTTCATCAACGTTGACGGTATTTTCAGGCTTGATCCAGCCATACTGGCCCTCCCTGATATCAAAGTACCAATGAACCGCTTTAGGCGTGAAAGAGTCGAACCTATTGGCTTCTTAACGTCTACCCATCTTGGTCTTTAAGTCTGAGCGACGATTTATAAATTTGATCACCTAGTTGCGTCCTAACTTGGGATGTTCGCCATGCTGTCTCAACAAGGCCATGACACAAGCGCGAATCTGACTTTGGGACAGAGCGTAGCCCAAAGTCTCCTGGCGGAGTATCCAGGCAGCCAACCTATCTTCTTGACTCTTGGATAAGCGTCGATGAGGGTGAATCTGCTCTTTTACGGCCCCACGGCCGTTAAGTCTGACGATCAGAGGCCTTCGGGGCACTCCCCGTCTCTGGGCTGCCTGAGGGGGTGAAAAGCCATTCTCAGTAACATCCAATATAGCCTCCGCCATGTCGTCTTCTGTATATTTCCATCGAAGTCTTGGCCTAGGCATTTTCATGCCGTTGTCAAAGACAAAGACCAAAAAACAAGGCAAAGAGCGGTAAGGAATTTGATCATCTAACTAACAACATTTCCATAACACAGTATGCATTAATCTTGTACCCGCACAGCCTTATAGGGTCAGAACCATCATATACAATTATATTTATGATTAATAGACGTAATTTCCCTTAATTGGCTATATATTTAGGCTGACTTTTGTGTAAGTGAAGTTGGTGAGTTTTGGTGGAGCTTTTTTTATTTTGCGTGGCGAAAGAGGGGGTATGGCGAAAGAGGGGTTGTGGATGGTAGTATTTATTACGCCTGGGAGAACGAGTCTCATAGGGCCTGTGGCTACGCTAAGCTGTCCATAGGGCATCCCTAAGTTTGTGCTCCATGACCGTAGTACCTACGTCTAGGAATCGAGATTAGTAAGGTATCGGGGCGAAAAACGCGATCCGATTCACCAAAATAAGAACTCAAGACCTCAATACACGACTCGCGACCGAGCGAGTTCTGTCTACTATAGAAATCGTTTCTGATCTATCCGTTCATCTAACATCACCATTACAAAGCGCAACGGGAACCTCACGGTCTGCACCCCAGGAAGTGGCATTGCGTCAACGCTATCCTTCAGGGACAGGCTTATCAACAGAATCTATCAACACAGGCAAGGTCATCGAGAACAAAGCAGAGAAAGCCCTCCTCCTATGGGACGACCTCCCCGCCTGGCGCCGCGACAATGCCTTCATTCACTCTGGCTATTGTCGAATCCGTCCTTCCTACCTGCACTCGCTTCGCTCCCTATTCAATCTGCACAATGAATCCGTCAACATCTGGTCACACCTCCTCGGTGCCATTGTAGCTGTCGCTTGTTCGCTCTACTTAGACTACGTCATCCGCCCACGCCACGATTTTGTTACACTATCTGACGTGCTCGTCTTCGCATGCTTTATTGGTGGCGCAGGGTTGTGCCTTGGCATGAGCGAGACGTTCCATGCTGTGCTAAATCACAGCCAGAAGGTGGCGCGGTGGGGGAATAAGCTAGATTACGCGGGAATTATCGTGCTGATTGTGGGAAGCTTTGTGCCGGCACTGTATTATGGCTTCTTCTGCATGCCTACGCTGCTCACGGCGTACTTGTGCCTAGTGAGCTTAGCTTTGAGAGGGCGCGACGTAGCGGTGAAGGGCCACTGACAAAGACACAGATATGTCTGCTTGGCACTGGATGCGCCATTATCTCGTGGGTAGAGCAGTTTCGCACCCCAAGATGGCGGTCATACCGAGCCATGATGTTCGCCGCCCTCGGCTTATCTGGCTTCATCCCTATTATCCACGGCGTCACCATCTACGGCTACAAGGGGCTCGATGACAGAATCAGCGTTACCTGTATCATCATCCATGGCGCCATGTATCTCTTCGGCGCAGTTCTCTACGTGGTCAGGCATCCCAATCGTATCCCATAGTGGTGGTGACTAACTGACTGACTGGGAATGTAGGCTCGATGGCCGGAGAGGAGTTTCCCAGGTGCATTCGACATCTGGGGCAGCTCCCATCAGATCTTGCACATGTTTGTCCTGCTCGCTGCGGCAACGCATTTTTATGGCATGGTGAGGGCGTTTGACTACCATCACACGGTCTTGGGATCCCAGTGCATGACCGAATAAATCGAGACCTTTTCGGTTGTGTAACGCTCTCTATGGACGTAAGGTCGTTTATCATTATTTTTCCGTTATATGGGCCATTCCCAAACCCAGGACCCACGATGCGCGCAAGACCACATCCCATCGCTACTGCTGCCCTGGACCCGATAGTTTGGATTCTACTCCACCACCGTGATCCTCGTCAGCAGCTCGTGTGTAACGTCATGAGAAGATCCATGGACCCGGAAGCGCCGTCGTCATCGTTCACATCGCCTATACCGGACTGACTCTATGGCATGCGTCATCTGCTCCCCTTCTCAAGACATCATGAGTGCACCGTCACCCTACTCTTCTTGATGCAAACGCTTCTGCGCACCGCTATCAGGACACAAACAGCCTCTAGGAAATTTTAGCAAATAATACTCTAGACGAAGCAATAAAAGCGAACAATGACACTGGGCGACCATATGAAATAGGTCAGGTCTGCACGCAATCTCCGATGGGACGTAGCACCAACTCCGTTGTTTCGCCACCGAAGACTTCCAGCAATGTTCTAGAGTGAGTGTGATCCATGAGAGGAAGATTTGAAACTATATTGCGACTATAGTAATGGCTGAAAGATATTCCATTGTTGACTATGCAGCTGCATCGTTCTGATATGCAGAAACGATTGGGTTGGATCATATCCAAGTTGGAAGGGATTAACGTTATCCATGACATCGCAAGAACTATAATCAGAAGCCACGAATTTCATAATCCAGCTACAGGAATCTGGACTTCCTTACAATTTAGTGGCCAACCATGGCTCCTCACGAGCCGTTCCTTTTTCTCTAGCGCGGTGATGGCATCCGTTGGGCACACGGTGTTAGTGTGAAGCTCTTGCGGGGGGAGGAACCGGGCAAGCCGACCTCAGATTGCTGGATGGAGCCCTTCTCCAAGATCTGGCTTGATGACACCTAATGCCAAATTCGCTGATTAGTATCCCCCTAGATGCCGCATCATATGCGCCCCCGGCACCTTGCCTGCATTGTAATTCGGTTAAATATCGCCCGCGGAATTTCGTTCATTGTTGTTGCTATGCTAGGAGGTAAATGCAAGCGATCCACACTCTGGAATGTGACCTATGTTTTAATTAGGAGTACTAAGTAGTTTCGCCTTCAGCCATTCTCACTAGACTTGGGATGTGATATTAGTTGTTTGCAGAAGACAATTCAGTGAGGAAGGGGTAAAATGTGTGGCAGAAATCTGATTTGATGTGTCTTGGTTTGGTAGGGGATGTCTCGCGTCAAGCAAAACCAGAAAGAAATAAAGGGGGTCCAAAGCCATGGAGCTGAAAGGAGGAACGGCGGCTCCGGGGGGCCGTTGACGCAGTTTCTGGACCGGAGTGTCAGGGCCTTTCAGCTGCGCTACTGTACGAATTCAAGGAACCATTAAGCCAGAAAAATTCACTTAAACAGCTAAGCTATGCCACAGCTAGAAACCAGTACTGTCACATGCGATGTCTTTCCACCTGCTCCTTGGATGCCCGATAGCGACAGCCATGAGCGAGGACCCAGAACGTCGCGATTCCTGACCCAGACGCAACATTGATTGCTGCTGGAAAAGTTGCGCTCCAGGGACGCGAGAAGATGTGAAGCGTTGATACCGATATCGACAAAGACGTAGAGAACTTTGGTCTTAGTCACTTCGACAGGGATGAGGCAGTCATGAGAATAAGGGACGAGTAGATCGTAACCAAGGGCCCGCTCCGTGTAATCATCAATATAGCATGCACCGTAGGTAATGTCGCCCATACGCCTCTGGATGCCTGGGCAGAGCTGGGCGAGGATGTCGGAGAAGGTGTTAGCAAAGAGGAGTAGGCCTTCCTGTAACTACAGTGCAGCTTCCTGGGTACCTGAGGAACGGATACGATGGATCGTCATGGGAATCTCAACGTTGTAGTTAGCCTGCAGCAGGGCGATAGCGGCCTTGAGGTTGGGATCTCCGAGGAACTCCTTGGGAGCTTAATTCCAGAATCTGGGTGCTTTTTGAGGCTTAGTAGCAATATTATCAAGAGCTGTGGACTACATGATCCTCACTCATACTTTGGACTCACAAACTCGAGAAAGAAACTGGTAGCCACGAAGCGTTAAGCAAAGTGTGAACAGCACCACTCTCACCCGGCCTCAGCCGCGGTTCGTCGACCCACGAACATCTTTTTTGGTTGCTTCAATGGCGCTCCTCTATTCTGTGTCGTTGGTGCCGTCTAAGTTTCGGCGGTGGGGGACGAAGTCGACTGAGCGAGCTAGGTCTCCTTAATATCGGCCACCGTGCCAAGGTCGGCCTGTCGCTGGTCCTCCTCCATTCTTCTTAATATGAAAATATAGAAGAGTAAGAAGCAGACAATTCAAGTCATTACCCCTATTCCTTAACTTCTTTTCTTATATCAGTCTAGCTTGACTTCAGAATGAAAAGTTGGGCAGCAATATAAACCAGAATTTCTAGCACTGCACGGCCCGCTTTATGATCACTTGTTGTAGAAAATTTGACTGAATGGAATTAATTCGGCTACCTATGTTCACACTCCCAAGACCTTCTGTTGTGCGCTACAGTTTCCTCTAAGACGACTCCTCGAGCATATAAACGATCCATTGAAAACAGGTTGCACTCTCTACGAGCCCTACCTCTGCCTTGCGTGCCCATTATACTATTCCCTATCAAAGTGTCAACAAATTGGCTCCTCAGCTGTCAATTAAGCTTTCCTTGTTCTGCTGCTGACTCCGGGGCACGGTCTCCCCCCGAGCCCTGACCTTGGCCTTTGCATCCTTAGCGGCTCGCCGGTAGAACTCATTGAGGATCTTGGCGGGAATACGGTTGAGCAACTCCTTGGGGTAGATTCGGAGGAGGGCCCATGCGAGATCAAGAGACTCGTAGATGGTTCGCGATTCGTACTGACCCTGGCTAATGAACTGGCGCTCAAACTTCTCCAAGAACACCAGAGATAGCTTATCCTCAGCCGACAGAGCCTCCTCACCGACAACGGCCTTCATGGCCGCGGCATCACGACCGATAGCATACTTGGCGTACAGCTGGTTCGACACATCACCGTGGTCCTTGCGGGTCATGCCTTCACCAATGGCAGACTTCATCAGACGGGACAGCGAAGGCAGCACGTTGATGGGAGGGTAGATACCGCGGTTGTCCAGAGCTCGGTCGATAAACACCTGACCCTCAGTAATGTAGCCAGTTAAATCAGGAATTGGGTGAGTGATATCGTCATTGGGCATGGTCAGAATGGGGATCTGGGTGATGGAGCCGTTGCGGCCCTTGACACGCCCGGCTCGTTCGTAGATGGTGGACAAGTCAGTATACATGTAGCCGGGATAACCGCGTCGACCGGGCACTTCTTCTCGAGCGGCTGACACTTCTCGAAGGGCATCGCAGTAGGCAGAGAGGTCTGTGAGAATGACCAAGACGTGCTTCTCGAGCTGGTAGGCGTAGTATTCGGCAGTGGTGAGGGCGAGACGGGGAGTAATGATACGCTCAATACTAGGCGGGGTCAGTCTAGTCTCAATTGCATGATATCGTGACGGCTGCGCTTACGTAGGGTCGTTGGCGAGGTTTAGGAAGAGAGTAACACGATCCAAGCTGCCATTCTCCTCGAAATCGCGAGTGAAAAAACGCGCAGTCGCGTAGTTCACACCCATGGCGCCAAAGACGATGGAAAAGTTCTCCTCGTGACCGTCGTGGACTCCCTTGTTGGTAACACCCTGCTTCTGGACTAGGCCAGCCTGACGGCAAATCTGAGCGGCGATTTCGTTGTGAGGCAGACCAGAGGCGGAGAAGATGGGGATCTTTTGCCCTCTGGCAATCGAATTCATGGTGTCGATGGCAGAGATACCGGTCGAGATCATCTCTTCGGGGTATTCCTAGGGTTGTTAGTCAAAGTTTGAACACCAGAGTGCCTGCAGGAAGCCTTACACGAGAGTAGGGATTGATGGGGCTGCCGTTGATGTCGAGGTAGTCCTCGGCCAGCACCTTGGGACCCTTGTCGATAGCTCGTCCAGACCCATCAAAGATACGACCAAGCATGTCCTCAGACACACCGAGCTTCAAGCTCTGGCCGGTGAACTGGACTTTAGTCTATTACGTCTCAGTCCAAATTTCTTATTATGGCACTCATTGTTGCCTACCTTTCTGACATCGATGCCGGAAGTGCCTTCGAAGACCTGTTACACTTATTAATCGCCTTGTTGAGATATTTCGCGATTCAAGGAAGTACTTGAACCACCGCTCGGTCACCTGTTCATCACTGTGAGCCTATGCCGCGTCATTACCTCCAGGGTTTGTTTAATAGCCGCACGAACCTCGAGCTTCCAGGACCTGACCCGATCGCTCAGTGCCATCGGGAAGAGTGAGCGTCACGATCTCGTTGTATCGCGGAAACTTGACCTAGTGTTGTCAGCTGGTAAGACATAAGCTGAGCGGATCCTTGCATGCCGACGTACGTTCTCGAGGATGACAAGGGGGCCGTTGACGCCACCGATGGTGTTGTAGCGAATCCTGGGGATGACCGAGTACGACGACGACTCGCGTGGGTCTCCCATAATGAGCGATAGATCGAGCAACGGGCGGGAGAGCAGAATGAGAGGTGGGTGAGGAGGGAGAAGCTGATCCAGAAGATGGAAAATGAAGTTAGGAAACGGGGAGGACGCCTCAAGGTGGGCTGAGGTTGGAGGAGGTTGAGTTAGCTTCACCAAAGTGGAGCACCTTGCGCCAGCTCGAAGACGCACGACCAATAAACTAACTGGGAAGCTGGTACTAAATCTTCTTTCTCTAGGGTTGCCGAAGAAAGCTACTTGTGGTTGCAGCTATCTATTCTTCCCATTTGATCGGAGAATTGTGGAGGTCAGCTGGGCAGATACTGTGAGATGCACAAAATACCATCTCATCTCGGTCTTGGGATGAACGTCGAGGTATAACGGCAAATTAAAAGGGCAGCAGCTTCCCTTGTCAGTTATATGAAACTCGACGGTGCCTGGCGGGACCGGGTGAGGGCGGTATCGACCAAAGGTTTGACGGATTTTCACGGTGGAAATGATGAGAAAGGAGGATTGGCGGGTTTATGCGAAGAGGGAGAGGGTGCGGGGACATATCCCTTCGACTCCAGTAAGCCTCTAGTTAGTCACAGAACCAGCACGCACCTCAGTAACCCCATCTTCCCCTTTTGTTATCCCTCCCCTTTTTATTATTTTATATTTAGAAACGACTTATCGCTACGTAGCTACTATCCAGAGTTGGATTCGAGTGACTGAGCCACATCCGTAGTAAAACCATATGTTCTAGCGATTGCTAAGATTTACAAGATGTCAAGGACGCGGTCGGGGAACCCCGCCGCTCGGAAGCCCGTCGACGAGATGGCTCGAACCAATGACACTTATGTCTCGGGCACCACCTGATCAGCGACAAACCTTAAGCCTAGGCTTACGGAGCCTCCGTAATGCCTTCATTGGCCAACGCAGCGGTCGAGACCATTTTGCTGTGAGGGGCAAGTTCAAACTTTACAGCATGTCCTGCAGCCAGGGGTCCCTACATAATCACACGACGAGCGATGGATCGTGATGTGTCTAAGGAAAGCTTCTATACTGGCGTACCTTACATCTAATTTTTCCGTCATTGGTGTGCCTGTATGGTGAGTTGCGTGTTGTCTCATAGATTTCTCCATAATAATATGTATGTCCTCCATCCTTATAATCTATATTCTGACAGATGCGCCAGCTTCCCTCTAAGGCCGTTCTGAATATATAATTTAACACAGGGTAATATTACCACCGAGACGTCGCGAACACCGCAAATGTGGTTCCGCCCTATGCCCCTCATCCTCATCACGGATGAGGACCTGACATACCACGGGAAGATATTAAGCGCCAAGTATGAAGAAGGGCGACTTCGAGCAATTCATGCGATGGTGTGCATAAGCGAGCACCGCGGCCGGCCAAGGGTAAGGCCCAACTTGACCATACGGGACTGAAGATAAAGAAGAGATTGCCAACGCCAGCTAGCTTCCCCAGCGACACCCTTCGCCCGTGAATCCAGGCAATTCATCGAGTCCAAAGGTCGGACTGTGACAACGGATAGGCTATGAAGTGGGAAAGATTTCCACGGCCGCCGTAGGACTGGGAGAGTTTTGCCCTATGAAGGATATGTATTGGGCGGGTGGATGGATGCTATCTAGCAGAGATTGGGGAGAATGGATGGAGGGAGTCACGGTCAAAGCAGGGAGTCGAGAGTGGTCGAGCCATACGTGAGAAAGGTCGAGATTAGTATGATGCTCGTCTTGGGTTATTCTTAAATCGTACCGATGAGTGGGTCAAAGGCGGGCATTTAGGGAACGGCGGATAGGGTTGGAAAGGCCACCGCGTTTATGTTAAAGTTGGCTTCAGTCTGTTGCTATTCACAAAGCGCTTGCCTTTTTCTCGCATCCTTCAATAGCTTTAACGCTCCGCTGCCGTGCGTGATCTATATAATAGGCATAAGCTGAGGAACTACTTACTGATATAAACCGAGTGAAAATATTATTATAGTATTAATAACGGATCATGCCCTAATCTAGTAGTGGCTCCAAACAAACTGCGCTGCAGACTAATCACAAAATGAACCAGCTGTAATGCTCGGCTTGGATGCCGCCTAGGTAGTAAAGGTGCTATATCCGGATGCAGGATTCATCGCATCATTCGCTTCTGCTCTCTCTTGCGTGTTAGTCGGCGAGGGAGACCTTCATGCTGATCAAGAGCGAAGAAATCCTATCAGCAAGCGCAACCTCTGAATACCTATTTCGTGCATAATCAGGAAGCGAAGCCGAGGTCTCGCACAAAGCTGCTGAACCTGGTGCTTCCAGACTCGCTCACTAGGGCCTGCTTTTCCGAAAGATAATGCCCTCCTGTATAATGCTTGACACATCACCTAGATGTTGTATGTAAGAAAAGACATTCGCACATACCTCAAGGCTGACCTACGAAAGAAGAATCGGCGATAACCTTTTATTGATGGCTGCGGTCGATAACACCAGCGTTCTCTAAGAAAACTAAAAGCAGATTAATTAACTACAAACTAATTACAAACTACATATTCTTTTTTGTAGTTACTTTAGTGAAAACCTAAACATTGACTATGACTAACTAACTTGCAACCCTAGGTGCCACTAAGCACCTTGATCGTATACTCAGACGGCTTTGATTAGGCCGTCTAGGTCCGGCTAAGGTCTTTGATGCTGAAACAGTAAAGGCTCTAAAAGCTAGCTCAGCGAGCAAAGCGTGTGTAATCGCAACTACATATCCTCACGAAGTTATTTAAATAAAGCTATAAACGCAGCAGGAAATAAACCCCTTTGAATTAGTTGAACCGGCAAGGTAGAGCAAGGTCCTAGGCCCATTCGTGCATAGGAGTGGCTCATGAAGAGAAAAGTGCCATAATAGAGGAAGACCATGCGAGAAGTTGCCACTTCGATGCCGGGGCATTATCTGCAACATTCAACCCAATTTTACGGAAAGATGGATGACATGCCTTATACTCTGATATCAGCACTGGCCTAATTGAAACGGTACCAGCGTCTGCCACGGCAATGCCAGCTTATCAACCAGTGATGCAAGTGACCAAAATGTCGAGAATACAAGAGAAAGGCAAGCTCAAGCGTCAAGATGTAACTGGACAGTGGTAACCTCTAGCAAACAAAGTGCAGACCCAGGGTAAAATATTTTTGCAGATAGGAGCCGACTGATTACGCTGCATCTAGGGAGTGGAACATAAACATGTATAGAATCGTGAATAAAGCTGCACGGTGCGGGGATCGAGAACAAGGAAGCTTCTATCCTATTTTCCGTATGTTGAATGTCTGGGAATCCTCTCTTAGACACCTGTATTTTGAACGGGCGAAGGTAGGTCCAGCATGTCTTGATTCGAGCCTTACACGGTCTGCATGACTTTGTTAAAACTGCCTGACCGGTCATTTTTATCGCGGGACGGGCAAATAGAACTCCTTTGACTTGGCTATCTAAACTATTGGAACTAACTCTATTCCTCCTATGAATAGTTAATCAGCAAGCGTATTGATGCTGTTTTATCCCTGGCAACCTTCTCATATGACACCTACAATACTATTCAGATATCTTGCTGTGTTACTATTATGTCGGTGTTTTGGCATATGTATGCATGCCCTGATTTGACCCGGAGCTATGCCAGCATCTGTGAAGCGCGGTAATTGAGATATATCTTCTTTAAGCAGTATTCCTATAGTACCGTGTTGAGTCAAAAAAAGGATTGAGTGTATTATTGTTAGTCCTAAGTTACATGTGTCAGAGGAGCACAGCTCCTTACATAGTATCCACATCCTAGCCACCAGCAGATCGGACCATCTTAGTCATACCGTCTCAACATACCGGATGGGCAGTAATGTCGTTACTAGGCTCATGCTCGTATAGCACGAACCGGTTGACAGAACGGTGACATAGAAACCAGGTAGTCTTATCGGAGGACCCTTTGCCTACTAGCGGGTAATTCGCAGCCTATTATTCTAGTATTCGCTTTTCGTTTCCGCCCTTGTAAAGCAATGGGGTAGTTGCGACGGCGGTAATACATAAATATTATCGTTTGCCTATCGGCTTCATCCTTGGTTGGCCTTCCAGTTATAAGTACATAGCCCCTAGTCGTGGCCCAGACATTAATTGCGTAAGATAGGGCATCCCGTGATTCATATTTCTCTTCAAGAGGAACGGAGTCGTCTTGAAGGAAAGCCGAGTTTTGATCTTGAGTTGAACCGATGCGAATGCAATCCCGGGTAGCGTCATCCTGTAAGGAGCCCGGGCTTTACACAAATTTCGCCTTCTTTTGGTCTGTTTCGTTGATATGCAGCTGGATCTCAAGTTCTATCAAAAGTTCAGGTAATTAAGCGCGCCGCGTTAGGAAGTTCTTGACATTGTGTTCAATTCAGCTGCCTTCCGGTGCTCGATAATTTTATCCCGCGCCCTGAACATGCCTCAGCTAGGCCAGCCGCCTCTTCTTTGGCAATGGCAGCACTCACTCATCTGCATCCGCTCCCCTCGTCAGTCTTACTTTCTTCGCTGGACTTATTGAGCTTCTATATATCATTTTAGCAGACGAAATATACATAGCTATCGGTTTAAGCACTTACAACCCAGAGTCGAGTAGCCTCGGCGATAGCCTCCAATGCCACAACCTTTCTCTCCTCTATAGTCATTTGACCGAATTTACTACGTGGAGCCAGAGCAGGAGTGTGAACCCGAGCGGCGGCAGGACTGGGCTCTACACCAGCACTGCAACCGCGCAACTGCTGCGCTGCACGATGAGCAGTACAGCTCCAGTCATCACTTGGTTCTATATTTGCATCCTCAGCCTGCCGATTTAGCTCCCAGAAGATACGCACAGCAGAAATAGCTCCGGAGGGAGCCTATGTCCTAGCTGATTAGTAGCTTCTTGGTTGAAAATGGGTTAGGCTCCTCACAGGCCTGCAGATATGGCCATTCCTGACGCAGTTCCACCAAGCACCAGTATCGAGTGGAGCAAAGGGTAACGCTACACTTACAATAGTGTTCCTGCTCGTGGCAGACGCGACAGTACGAATGGTCTGTCGAAGCTTATTTCGAAACATGCGGAAGGGAGATATAGCGGAGAAGGTGTTTTGGACGACGGCCTTGGGCCGGGAAAGGAATACTAATATGATGTACGTTGATAGCGGGATGACACTATGGTTGCGAGATAGCATTGTTATAAGTGGCCTCGGATGAGGGGTGCCGGGAGTAATTCCAAGAGTGAGATTAAATACTGCAAGGCATTCTCTTAGATACGTGGAGGGTAGCTCGAACGCACGATGGGGCGAAATTAGTAGATAGTGGACCAGAAACTGGTGATATCTTGTCTTGCTTGTTTGGCGGGGGGCGTCGGTCCATCGTTCGCGATAACAGACGGAAACTCATTTTTGTCCGCACATTGACGTCAATCTGACACATTCCCAGCCTTAACTTTGGTAAGGCATCATGCCGCAGGCACAGGCATGATGTCAACAAGCCTCCGGATACAACTGTACTTGGCAATCCAGTTACATGCTTCAAGTAAAATCTGTATGCTAAGTTAGACTACCCCCGCGTTTTAGGCAACCACAATCGGTCAACACACTGCTGCTGTTCATTCACGTTCAGTGCGACAAAAAGGCTTCCGAAACTGCCCAACAACGAAACCACAACCAAGAAACCCAAGTTTTAAGAACGCCTGCATCGCAACATCGAACCCATCCCAATCCCTCAGCCATAGCCATGTTCTCGCGGCAAGTCTTCTGTACCATCCGTGCCGCGACTCTCCATCCTACCCCTTTCCTCCGAGTAGGGCCTGCGCGAAACTTCACCGGCGCCGCCAATGACAGCCGACCCCCAATCTACCTTCATGGCCTTGATGGAACTTATGCAACCGCCCTAGTATGCCGCTGTGTCGTCCTTTATAATGAGCCAATGCGGCTATGTCGAGTGAGGCAGAACCGAATTATTATATACTGACTCTGTTAATTTAGTATACTGCCGCGGCCAAGATGTCAACCCTCGACCTCACCGCCAAAGCCATCGTCAATCTGAGCAACGTCTTTATGAAGGACACCAAGTTGACGAAAGTCCTGTCAACGCCGAGGCTGACCGATGAAGACAAGTCAGCGATCGTAGCCGAGCTGAGCAAGCACACAGGTACCAACGTTGCGACTGTCAAGAATTTGCTCCAGACTCTCGCTGAGAACAATCGACTGGGTCACCTTCAGGGTGTGTGCGAGAAGTTTGGTGAGCTGATGTCCGCCAAGCGGGGTGAAGTAGAGATGACCATCACGAGCGCCGAGCGTCTGGATAATAAAACTCTTTCGCGACTAGAGACTGCTGTTTCCAAGTCCTCCTATGTCGGTCAGGGCAAGAAGCTTAAGGTCACCAACAAGGTACATTATACTTTTCGCCAGTCGGCATTCGTTTCGGCCCCAGCCTAACGTTTATTGATACAGATCGACCCTGAGATTATTGGAGGACTTATTGTCGCGGTCGGCGACCGAACCATTGATCTCGGCGTCTGCGCCCGCATTGCCAAGATAAACAAGGTCTTGACGGACAGGCTATAAGCTTCAGCTATTAACCATGCGTTTATTTTATTTAAATGGAATTAAGTTACGTCAAGTTCATTAAATTATTACACTGCGCATTAGAACTGAAATAATAAATTTCTTTCGCATCTTGAAAAAATATAAATAGCTCACTAAATGGTCGGGTGTCACTCAGTTGCTATACGTGATATACCATTGTTGATAGCAGGGTATGTCTAACGAGGAAGAGCGTTTCTAGGCCTATCAGAATCTTGATGGTTAGCCTGAATACATAGAGAGGAGATTGCCGGCGGTTCAAACAAAGCCGACATTTATCAGCACAATGATGGTAACTACATCCTGCGAAGAGCAAACTACGAGACGGGGCTGGTGCGATTGAAATTTAAAGCGACCCCTAAGGAATGAGAGTCGGGGAAGTGGATCAGCATATCTAGGAAGTCTAAGGACAGCAAGAAGCCCTCCAAGCGGGGATAGGAAGATGAGCTTAAGGATAAAATATGGCGAAGTAATTTGGAGCTGAACAAATCAACTGCGTCCAAAGCGTCGACAGAATCGGTAGAATAAGATGGAGTGAGTTAGTTATGGAGGAGGCGAGGCTAGGATTGAGCTAGAGAGACAGCATCCAAGCGTTCAGATAGAATACAAGGGCCTACTAGAGAAATGAGCCAGGTGAGGGCTCAGTTGACAGGTAGTGAAATTCCAGCTGGGGATGGCTTTGCACTGTGAAGGAAGATTTACCCCTCAGAACGATATTGGGCCATGGACTGCCGCAAAGGCCACATTGATAAGTCATTCAAAGGTCCTGGGATATCAATCCATGGAAATCGACTTAGCTTCTAAACGCAGCTGCCCAGACGAACTCATCTCATGCTCTTCCTCATAGTCCTGGTATGACGCTCGAGGTTTGCAGATGCAGTTGAGACGCGACGCGTCATGGCGCGTCATAGGTCTCGCCTCAACTTGATTTCCAGTTTCCAATGGCCAATCACAACGGCCAGACGCACTCCGAGGACGCCTATCCAATCACAGTATAGAGAGATGGGGTTGTATTGTAGTGGGGCGTGGGGCGTCGAGCCACAATATCCAACCAATTGTTGACCTAAAACTCTGATCTGCAGTGAGCAAGAACTCGTCGATTTGCAATGCCCATCTCCAGTCTCTCAAACTTTTAGACTAGCCTCCCATTTTCCGTACAGGTTTGGTACCACCAGAGATCCAGACTTCGACCCCCATGTGTTCCGGAAATTTGAGGACCTTAGCCGGCAAACCAATCGCTCATTAGTGCCCTCTCTTGGTCACCTCTTTACTCTAGACCGCGTACTTAATGGGCCTTGCCAGGCATCATTGAGTTGCCACCCAGGCGAGGCGGTTGCGCCTTAGGCTTAGAGCTGGTTAATGCTAGATGCAATCCAGAAGTTGCACCTTAATACAGCATTACATTAAAAACGAGGCACACACACTCGTTGGTCGAACCAACGACAACTGTTTTCCGATGCCCTTTGGTGCGGTTAAAAATGTAGTGAAGCTCAGGCTGTCTTGGATCTCTCGCTTAGAATACCGTGGCTTTACAATGATCCTAGGCAGCATATGAAGCTCGAAAGATGGTCAAAGCCCTACTCTGTACTCTGTAAAACACAGCTAAAATCGGGCCCCGCCGATGTCCCTCAATTTTGTGCCCAACCTAGCAAGCAAGGTTGGCTCGCTGGTCCCCACCCCATGAGCCTATGGGTATTTCCTTGGCGCTGACATGTGATGATAAGTCGAGCTCTATCACTGCCCTATCCCTTCAGCACTGGAACCACTATCCCTTTGACCGGCATAGCCCTTTTCCCAAGTCACGCTTAGGGGCTCAAATGGATAAATGCTTATCAATTTACTAATACATCTAAATTATGTCACAAATTCATAATAGTCACTATACCTAGTGAACTCTATATCTAAGCGGAATGCAGCTAAGATACAGATAAGTGACTGGCCTTATAGTGCCCTACTTAGAACTTTGTAACTATTCTGTACGTGGGGTTGAGTGCACCTAGCTACATTGGATAAGGGCTATGCGGGTCAAAGGGATAACCACGCGTTGCGTCTTTCTCTCAAGGGTCGCGTACATTATTGCATCCACTTAGTTATCCTACCAACGCGGAGCAAACCCCCCCATACTTCACAAATAAGATCTCTAGAGTCCCTGTCAACTTTTGTGCTCGCAGACGAGCCAAGGAGATATCAGAGTATTAACAGATCACATCACAATGGACCGCCGATCGATGTACTCTGCGCACGTCTACGAGCCGAATTTGGGTGAGAATAGGGGTACTCGCCTACAGCTTCAAACGCAGCTCGAAACCTTCATCCTTGACTTTCGGCTTGACAACAACTTTGTCTACAGGTTTGCGCCGATTGCCCACGGGTTACAGGACTTGGTATACTGACGCTTCGACAGAGATCAACTACGAGAGAACGCACTGCTAAAGAGGTACTACTGCGATGTCAACATCAATGACTTAATCGGCTTCGACGAAGAGTTGGCGCATCAGTTGGCATCTGAGCCAGCCGAGGTCATCCCTTTCGTAAGGACTATGCAGCAGCTTAATTCTCCAACTTCTGACGTGCCATGGTTCGAAAATGCTTTGATGAAGTGCACCCATCGCATTGTCTTCCCTCACGAGCCCAAAGTCGAGATCCCCAAGCACCAGCTCCTTCTTCATTCCAACGCAGACACATCGCAATCTCGATTCGATGGCTATTGCTCGATTGGTCCGGGTACCAGGTATCGTCATCGGTGCCTCCGTCATGTCCTCAGAAGCAACAGAACTTCATATACAATGTCAAAATTGCGGACACACAAAAGCCATTCCTATCTTGGGTGGATTCACTGGTGTAACTCTGCCCCGACATTGTGCTAGTAGCAGAATTCCCAACGATCCCACGCCAAAGTGCCCCTTGGATCCGTACTTTGTCGTACACGAGAAGTCACACTTCATCGACCAGCAGATCATCAAGCTTCAGGAAGCACCTGATCAAGTCCCCGTTGGAGAACTGCCAAGACATGTTCTCATCTCAGCCGACAGATACCTAACAAACCGGGTTGTTCCTGGATCGCGGTGCACTGTCATGGGCATCTTCTCCATCTACCAAAATAAGGCCTCCAAAAACTCATCCAACGGTGGCGCAGTGGCTATCCGCACTCCTTATCTAAGGGCAGTTGGAATCCAGTCAGACATTGATCAAGTAGCCAAGGGCAACGCCACTTTCTCAGAGGAGGAAGAGCAAGAATTCTTGGAGCTGAGCAGACGGCCAGACATTTACAACGTCATGGCTGCTTGTATCGCTCCTTCAATTTACGGACACCGGGACATCAAGAAGTCAATTCTCTGCCTCCTGTTAGGTGGCTCAAAAAAGATCCTCCCTGACGGCATGAAACTTAGAGGCGATATCAATGTACTACTTCTCGGTGATCCTGGTACGGCCAAGTCTCAACTTCTAAAGTTTGTCGAGAAGACAGCACCCATCTCTATCTACACCTCCGGAAAAGGTTCATCTGCCGCCGGGTTGACAGCGTCCGTCCAACGTGATCAGTCTACCCGCGAGTTCTATCTTGAAGGTGGTGCTATGGTTCTGGCCGATGGTGGAGTAGTGTGTATTGATGAGTTTGATAAGATGCGAGCCGAAGACCGAGTCGCTATCCACGAAGCAATGGAACAGCAAACCATTTCCATCGCCAAGGCCGGTATCACCACCATTCTCAACGCGCGAACATCAGTCCTAGCTGCTGCCAATCCCATCTTTGGTCGATACGATGACATGAAAACCCCTGGAGAGAATATCGATTTCCAAACCACCATCCTGTCGCGTTTCGACATGATTTTCATTATCAAGGATGATCATTGCCGCGAGAAGGACGAGAAAATGGCCAAGCACGTTCTTGGTATCCAGATGAATGATCGGGGAGCCGACGAAATGGTCGAGTCTGAGATCCCTATCGACAAGATGCGAAGATATATAACCTACTGTAAGACGTAAGTTGCTCAGTTCCTTTTGGCTCTTCCGCCGTGTATACTGACCTCTCAAAGTCGCTGCGCTCCTCGACTCAGTCCCGAAGCAGCTGAGAAGCTCTCCTCTCACTTTGTCTCTATCCGTCGCCAAATCCACGACGCCGAAATAGAAGCCAACACCCGCTCCTCTATTCCCATCACAATCCGTCAGCTGGAAGCTATCGTGCGTATCACCGAGTCTCTTGCCAAACTCACCCTCTCTCCCGTCGCCACCGAGGCGCACGTTGATGAGGCTATCCGGCTATTCCTATGCTCTACCATGGACGCGGCCAACCAGGGCAGCAACCAGGGTAGCCGTGAGTTGAACGAGGAGGTGAACCGTCTCGAGACTGAGCTCAAGCGCTGTCTACCCATCGGATGGAGCACAAGCCTATCCACACTACGGACAGAGATGGTAGAGGGCAAGGGGTACAGTGAGCAGGCGTTGAATCGAGCACTGATGATTCTACTGATGATTCTCCAGCGAAGAGATATAGTCATGTTCAGAAATCAGGGAGCACAGGTCTATCGAAATGGAGCTTAATCAGGGAATTATTATGATGTAATAATGTAAAGGGCTTGGTTGGTCATTTTAAGTAGCCGTCTTGATGATAGATGTGTTAATGAGTAACGAGAACGAAATCATCACGACCGCTGTATGCAAAGAAAACTATTCAAGTTCTAAGAATTTATAGCTTATATTGTATTTTCATATGCTACTAAAATCATATCCCTCTTTTTCATAGGTAGGTATGTCGTATACATTGCCGCACCCAGGATAGACAAGTGCCTCTAGAACACGTTTTAAGACAGGAATCATGTGTATAAGAAGAATATTATCGTACCGGATATCACGATCTTGTCAATTGAACACGGGGCTGTTGGTGAGGGTGCCCAGGCTCAAATTTATCACTGCCGGCCATTATTGGTAGATGCAATAGTGATGGGCGAATTCAAGTACATACTGTTAGTCGACGGCAAACTGTCACATACACCCCAAGGGATAGAGAATAGAGCCTAACCCATGTCGAACCCACGGTGCCTGTCTCGCCTTGCAGGAGGTAGCAATATATATATCTGCATTTTGTATGGCAGCGTAGCTGGTCGCTATTGGACATCCAGTAATTCCTGATACTACATCGAAGCAAACATCCTAAAAGACATTTCGAAGAGCATCTGTGGCTCAACGGGACGAGCGAGCCCATCGGAAGGCCGTGCAACAGGATGCACACTTATGCGTGGTTTGTAAATGAATAACGAGCGAATCTAGTCTCAGATGACTTCGGTAACGTTTTGTTTCGGCCCCCACAGAACAGCGACCTTGCCTCTGACGGGCTGAACCGCTCAAACAAGTGGGCTACAGGGAGATTACTTATCCAAAACTCGGTGTAGACGCAGGTGATATGTTGAAAGATGCAGATTTAGATTAGTTCTTGATTGAACGATAAGTATATTCGATATCACGAGGGTGTTAATTGGGTGTCAAGACTCAGCGATTGCCTTTGCTTCCAGCTTCACCGATTCGAGATTCACAGATAATTGGCCAGTCAGAGATGTTAACTTGCCACAAGATGGTGGTTGGGTCTACTGATATTCAGAGCCAGCTCAGAGCCAATATAACTCATAATTCACCGCTCTATGAGATGTTGAAGACTGTCTCGTTTTTAGATGTAGAGTACTTGTTGATCCTGATGAAGGGAAGACGTCCGCAGGATGGCCTCGGCGGGGTTGAGAACCGTGGTGGAGGAATGAGGTGGATTGACAATTAAGATCGTGACCAGTGATGACTATTATGCCTGTACCGTTGGGTATCCAGTCTCGACTCGCTGTGCGACTCTGCCCAAGCCTGCAAAGAACTTTGGTGTGGGGGGGGAAGGCTTGTCAAGGATGATCATGCTCAATAAGTGAGCCACAAGAGTCTCGATGATAGACATGGAAGTCTAGACCGCAAAGGGCCTACCTTTGAAGCCGTTTATGTTCAGGGGTTATAGACTCCTAGGCGAGACCTCAAGAGATCCAGTATAAGCATATCCCCGGCATTCTTATGCAATAGAAATCACATCTCTGCTCTCAGTCAAATAGGCCAATGTCCAGTAGGTCTCCAGTCGTATAATATCATCTCCTTTCTCATACGCGCCTCTCCGACTTTCGCATATATCTAAATAAAGTTGGCTTAATTATCCGGTGCAGAATCAATCAAACTAGCCAGGTTTTAGAGTTCCTTCCGATACGCACCTTTGATAATATTAAAAATTCCATCATCTAATAGCTGCAAATAATGAGAACAATTTTCTGGTAGGTAACAGCAGTAGACATTGTTCGGAAGGCACGTAACTATCCATTCATCCTGGATGCTCGTCAGCGGTCTTATAGCGGGAGGATTTACGGTGAAAACCGCAAAAGTCTGACCTGTGCATGGCTTTCCTGACCGTCAAGGATGATGAGTCTTTTATCTGACGTATCACGAGGCTCCGTTTGAGGTTGTTAGACGTCTTTCAACCACTCGAGAGCTATGTGGGATCTTTAATTCGTAATAGCGCGAACTATATAGACCGCCTAGTGACCACCAAGCCCTGTTAGGTATATAATGATTGTCCTTCAGTAGTCGCTGCTTCTACAGGGCGTCATGACCTTATGTGAGCCCACTATGACAAGCCATGTGCGGTCCGACCACAAGGTTGCGATGGACTAAGCGTCGACCTTGGCGGGGACTTCCTCCTCGTCATACTCCTCCACGCTATAGACGTCGTCGTCGATGACTGCGTCCTGATACTGCTGGTACTCCGATACCAGGTCATTCATATTGGACTCAGCCTCCGTAAACTCCATCTCATCCATGCCTTCTCCGGTATACCAGTGCAAGAAGGCCTTGCGGCGGAACATAGCGGTGAACTGCTCGCCAACGCGCTTAAAGATCTCTTGGATGGCGGTCGAGTTACCGACAAAAGTGGACGACATCTTCAACCCCTGCGGCGGGACAGAGCATAGACTCGTCTGCACGTTATTGGGAATCCATTCAACAAAGTAAGCCGAGTTCTTCTGCTGAATCTTATGCATCTGGTCCTCCACCTCCTTCGCAGACACCTTTCCGCGAAAGATGGCAGAGCAGGTCAGGTAGCGGCCGTTTCGAAAATCAGAGCCTGTCATCATGTTCCTGGGGTCAAACAGCTGCTAGGTAAGCTCGGGGATAGAGACAGCACTGAATGAGTGCGAGCCACGGCTAGTGAGGGGCGCAAAGCCAACCATGAAGAAGTGTAGGCGGGGGAACGGAACCTAGACGAGGAGGAATGCTTAGCCACAACATTCTTCGATTACAGTGATATGTACCTAGATGAAACGAGTCTTCCTACCAAATTAACGGCCATCTTGCGAAGGTCAGAGTTTAGCTGTCCGGGAAAGCGCAGCGAAGTTGACACGCCAGACATGACGGTTGATACGAGGTGGTTAAGGTCGCCATAGGAAGGATTCGACAGCTTCAGGGTACCCTTGCAGATATCATACAGAGCCTCGTTATCGATACAGAAAGTCGCATCTGAGTTTTCAACCAGCTGGTGGACCGACAGCGTGGCATTATACGGCTCCACGACGGTATCAGACACCTTAGGAGACGGTACTACACTGAAGGTAGCCATCATACGGTCCGGAAACTCTAAATAGGCGGTTAGAACCGTGAGAGACAGTGCATCGAAATGTGTATCAGTGGCATCAATCTCACCCTCACGAATCTTGGAAATCAGCAGCGTGCCCATGCCGGAGCCCGTACCGCCACCGAGCGAGTGGGTGATTTGGAAACCTTGGAGGGAGTCGCAGCCTTCGGCCTCACGACGGACCACGTCCATTACCTGATCAACTAACTCGGCGCCCTCGGTGTAGTGACCCTTAGCCCAGTTATTTCCGGCGCTTGAGTGTCCAAAGACAAAGTTGTCGGGACGAAAGAGCTGACTAAGCGGGCCGGAGCGCACCGCATCCATTGTGCCAGGTTCTAGGTCAACGAGCACGGCACGTGGCACGTACTTGTTGCTGGATGTCTATGCGAACTCGATCAGAGGCCGAGAATAGTTTGGAATGGGTCACGCAATATGGCGCACCTCGTTGAAATAGACATTCATGCGCGCAAGCTGTAGTTCGGAGGTCCCATTATACCTAGATTGATGCGTGAGAAGGATGAAGTGGCGTTTCGAATGGGTTGCCTACATGCCACTGCTATCCAAACCATGCTCGCCCGAAATGGTCTGCCAGAAGGCAGAGCCGATTTGGTTGCCCTATTCAGGTTAATATGCTGCTTTAGGAAGAAATGAGAAAGAAATGTAACGAGAAGGGCGTGATACTCACACATTGGCCAGCTTGGAGATGCACCTATAGCGAAAAGGGAGTTCAAGGTTAGTTTGTGGAGCTTCCAAGGCAGGATTAGAAGCGGACTTACAATTTCACGCATAGTGAGCTCAATTCAGCAGTGGTGGTTTTAAGCGCCGTTGAGATAAATTTGTTCAGCGTGAGAGAACAAAAGACAACGTTGAAATGTTGGGAAGGCGGGGTTAGTGAAAGGCGCGACGACTGGTCCGTAACAAGTAAGTCGATAGCCATGATATGACAGTATGCAATGAGATCATATACCGCCTTACGGGCTAACCCGTAGGCAGAGGGGTAACACGCCCCCGCTGTTGGATTGCAATGCTCAAAAATCCTCCATAAGCATATCTTGTTTATGAGCATACTGCCTTGAAATGCTAATGACGCCATAGAATGACGGCAAATTAATTAAGTGACTGTTCCAAAACTGCTGAGGAGGTGCAACCTCGTACCTCGAGTCCTGGCTTTAGATTATCACTACTTGATGTTTTTCTCGTACTCAGTCTAGTATCCATTCATACTTCTGGATCAGTCTTTAAGTAAGTAAATCATTTTTTGCTATAGAATAAATTAAACTGCCATTAGCGAGCATTCTTATAACAAATAGTACTAAACGTCTATTCTTCCCTATCTACGTCCAGGAGCTAGGCTACGTCACGATATCTGTGCCAACAGCAGTGTTACTTGCAGTAATCAGTGAACAGTCCCGATGAGACGATATTGGAGCGGGTGTTGGATGTCGATGGTCAGGGCTCAGTAACTAGTGGCCACCTTTCTGTTGCAAAATTTATTTAATTAAATCTAAAGGTTATCTTGCGATGCTCGGCGCCATTCCAGTACCTGCACCAGCGAGAGTTTTAATCGGCTGAATGGACTATCGTGCTGTGATACTCTCTAGATAGGATATTGATTCTTGGGAATAGCGCCCGTGACGAAACAATGGAGGGTTTAATACTGTTTATTTGCAAAGAATCGAGACGTGGCATCCTTGGTGGAACGACAATAGCGGGGTTATATATTAATGTGCAACTTGTTTATACCATGGCTGAGCGCCCGTATTCCGGATTCGAGCCACAGAATAAATAACCTTAAGAGGGGCGCAGAGGTTGTCTGCCTTGTTCACTTGCCAAGGATTGGGCTCAATCTTTCTGTACAGGTGACTCGGGTGGCGGACGTACGCATGCGAACTCGATGTTGCACTCAGTCTCCGATGGAGAGTTGGTGGCGTTTCTGTCATCCGCTTCTTTGGCGCTTCGAGATATAATATGAGCAAGACGCCAGTGAGCGCTTGATCCAACCCTCCTTTCTATAATTCTTTTGGGTTTAAAACTGTGACAGAACTATGATTGGTAAGTAACGACGTCATTCCATCTCCGCGGCGATGAAGCCTTAGATCCCAGTATGCTTCTATCATTCGCGTCCGAGCTGCATACGCCATCGTTAGCTAATCTTTTCCCCGTACGCAGCCTACCCAGCCTTTCGCAAGCAGGTCCGTCGCGCTTGGTCAGGTAGAAACTCCGGCCGAAGGGTCAACCGCACCTACAGCGACCATGAAGCTGCCAACCCTGGGCTCTACTACGAGGGATCCCCGCTGCTTCGCGTACCACCCGTGGATGAGGAGCGCCATGAATTCATAAGGCGCTTATTTGATGGCACAAGCACGCCTGGCAAAGACAGCCCGAATCGTCTGATCAAATGGCCAGCAAATACTTTCCATGTCACGAAGGTTACGCTAATGAGCAGTAAGCATGTCTCTGCTGATTGATTGAACTACGACTGAATTGACGCGATAGACTACGTCAACGTCCTTCTCCCATTCGTGCCATTGGGTATTATTGCCGGCGTGCTTGGTTGGAGCCCTGCGGCTGTGTTCTCCCTAAACTTCATCGCCATTATTCCCCTGGCAGCGGTGTTATCCTTTGCTACGGAAGAGATTTCCATCCCACTTGGCGAGACATTAGGAGGGCTGCTGAATGCCACTTTTGACAACGCAGTTGAGCTCATCGTGAGTATCGTCGCCCTAAAGAAAAACCAAATCGAAGTCGTGCAGTCGTCAATGCTTGGTTCCATTCTATCCAATCTTCTTCTTGTCATGGGCAGTAGCTTCCTGCTCGGCGGCCTTGTCAACATGAAGGATGACTCAGGCAACGGCACCGAGCAGACCTTCACCAGTGCGATGGCACAAACGACATGCTCCTTGTTAGCGCTGTCAGCCGCCTCAATGATCATTCCCGCCACTGTAAGCAGCCTTCCAGAGCCCAGTCCTCAGGAATTGTGATACAATAAGCATCAGGAAGGACACTAATGTCGACATGTAGCTCTACAGCATCCTCGACAGCTCGGATCAGCATGGTAAAACCGAATCCATCCTTTGGCACTCACGCGGGACGGCCATCATGCTTCTTATCCTGTACGCCCTGTATCTGTGCTTCCAGTTGCGGACGCACAAGAATCTATTCAGCGAGGGGAGTGGTGGAACTTCCTCCCTTGACGAGGGAGGGGACGACCCTGAATCAGTAATGAGTCCTTGGTCTGCTGCAGCGGTACTGGTTGCCGTGACCGTTGTTATCTCCTTCCGTGCAGACTACCCGGTTGGCAGTATCGACAGCATCGCCAAAGACGCGCATACTAGCAAGAGCTTTATTGGCTTGATCCTGATCCCCATTGTCGGCAACGCAGCCGAGCATGCCACGGCGTGTGTGATGGCTGTAAGGAATAAGATGGATTTGGTGAGTGGCAACCTGCTTCCTTACTTGGTTGTTTTATTGTGATCTGACTGGTTACGTGGAAACAAGGCCACGGGTGTTGCAATCGGATCCAGCATCCAGATTGCGCTGCTGGTTACGCCGTTGCTGGTTGTCTTGGGTTGGGCAATAAATGTGCCGATGGGTCTAAATTTCAATATTCGTGAGTTATCATGAGCACATAAGCAACTTTTAACACGCTTGCTGATGCTTGGGGCAGTTGAGACAGTTATCTTCACTGTATCTGTTTTAGTCATGACGGGCACGGTGCAGGATGGGAAATCTAACTATTTGGAGGGAGCCATGGTGAGTTTATGTTCCCCTGTGCTTCTATACCTACAGTGTACTAAGCAGGCTGCAGCTTGTGGGACTCTATATTATCATCGCTTTGACATTCTGGGCTATCCCTACTGGAGTTTTGGGAAAAGTTACGGGCTAATTGCCAGGTTGCCATTATTATGCCCTGTGCAACTCTTTTTGGCTATCTATACCTTGTTGGTCGATCTATCGGGGAGTGTGGGAGACATCCATGGGCTTCGCGAGGACTCAGTCGGCGGCTAAGGCCAGGAGGATCTGACCGACCACTTATAGGAAATTGGAGGTTAACCTCTATGCAACGCGGGAGAACTTGCTCATCATATTCGATGACCTCATTTCAACCTACCACTGTAAATTAGGACGAATTGTGTCGGCTACTTCTTGCAAAACGTCCAGACAATCTCAACCAGACTGCTTCTCGTCCTCTTTTCATCAAAGACCTGGCCGTGGTCCAGATCTTGAAACCAGATCACATCCAATCTATCACCTTTCTGACCGAGATCCATTAAGTCCGTAGTTTCTAAGATCCAATTGTCTGACCCCAGCAAATATGCCCGTATTGCTTTGGTGTCGATCACACTATCTCTGCCGGCCAAGACCACAGTCACGGGATGATCTCGGATATCCTCCTTCCACAATAAGTTATCAGCCCAGAAGAAACGGCGGAATAGCGTATGAGCTATGCCTATATCCTTGGAACCAAAGTAGGAGAGTAGATACTCATTAGGTTGACTTGGCCGTCTACATATCTAAAGCATTAGAGTTTAGCCAGTATCATCAGTCAATTTGGGGACAGAGCTGGCATACAAAATTATAGGCCACGTCAGGTAGATGAAGTAGAAAAGACACGGGGTCAATAAACAATGCAGGGCCAATATGCTGCGAGACCTCCGGGCTACGAAGGAGTTGCGCGGCAACCACGCTTCCGTATCTTTCCACCGTCAATGTCAATGGGTAAGGGAATGGAGTCACTTTAGGAGTGGTACTTACGAATGTGTTACCAAGACACACTTTTCCCACCCATGTGCGGTCAATATGCGCCGAATCTCATCGCACATTTCGTCTTTCAGCATTGCCTCGTATGTTATCCTAGAGCTTACCGACATAATTTCTATAGCGATGATGCCAACCTGCCCATCTGAAGAATTCCCGGCATCATGGGCATTGATGTCGGCTAAGAAGTTTATGTATGGGTAAAGCCCCACGCCGATGCCGTGAACGAATAGAATAGGCAGCCTTGTCTTGGACGTATGGGGACGGTGCCAGTAAGTAAGCCTGTTAGCATGGGAGGTGCAGGTCGCAAACAGAGTGAAAAGACGTAGGGGAAAGGTAGTAAGAAACTGCGAAAACGACGTGCGATGAAAGTTGAACGAGTGGTATCGTAAAGAGATAGACGCTATGGTATCGACAACAAACACGCACTAGAGGGTAGTACGAACAGAGTTAGCAACCTGGGGTACATGAGCCAGTACTTGGGCGCATAGTCATGTGAGTAACTTACTAGATACCACGTTAAGCTCCGATGCAACATCTCTACCTTCTCGAGAGTCAACCGGAGGCATTTAGCGTTTCCGCGGCCAGGCTCTAGCTTCTTGCCTAGCAGCTTCTCTATCTCTTGAGTATACTCTTCTAATTCCTCGTCATAGGTCGAGTCATGGTCTCCTGTGTTTAAGAATGCCCACCGGAAGAAGTCCTTGACATTATCGCGCTTAATCTCGGAAACTGGCGCATTCCGGAACCATTTTCTTAGGTACTGAGCCGGGTCGGGAATATTATTGTGGCATTTTAGGAATAACTTCCGACGATCGGCGCGGCAGGGCGGGACGGGGTGTTTTGCGGCCCTCTGGTGGTATTTATTCAGCGGTAGGTAGATAGCCAAATAGAAAAGAGCCTCCAGAGAGAGCCAAGCCTGTAGTACTCGCGGGAACTGAAATGGAAGGCAGGCTAGTAGGCTGACTAATGAATAAGTAACGCTAAGTGGTGCGATAAGGTGTAAGAGAAATATGGATGCGCGAATGAAGATGTAGTCCCAGAGAGATGTTCCCGCCATGGTAGCGGAGATATATCGTTAGGCAGCGTCACCGGGAAAATGTATGTTTTAATGTTCTAGCTTAGGCGGTCACTGTTTCTATGGAGTGTAGAATTGTGATTCTTATGCTAAAAAAACATCCATATCTTAATAAGTTTTTAGCCTTATAATAGTATTATTTTTTGTTGAGTTTAGTTAAGTCGATTTGTTGGGACCTTGCACTTGACGTTACCCCACTTACAAATGCCTTGTTTAAGCACGTGCTAAACCTAGCATGTGAAAGAGATGATGAGTTTGCCGAGGACGCAGTAGCATTATCTAACTATTCTGGCTTGATCCTGACCACGGCGTGCCATCACGATAAAGGATTATCTGAGGCTGCGATGCAAGTAGATCCGTATTGCGTACGTAAGTTACGAAAAGCAATCTGGGGGTTTAAGCTGAGCCATCTCTCGGGGTATACTTGGAAGCGGGTAGAAGCTTGATCATTTATTTGCCACTGTTCATATCTCAACCCCAAGTAAGATCTGACGTGTGTTAGACTAGGTGTCTAAGAAGCAGTGTAAGTTTTATTTCAACTTTAAGCATTTCTTAAATTTCTAACCCAGGTTCCTGGCATTATTGGCAAGATGTCTCTGCTATGCATTCGAGCAGTTGGGCGGCAGGGCGTGGAGAACTACTTGGATTTTCGACACATCATTTTGAAACAGAGGGCATCAGGTGATAAAACATAAAGGAACTTGAATCTAGGATTGATTCTACGCCGGTTATGAGATCATTTACTATACGAGTGATAGTACAGCTCCCTCCATCTTGTCTCGGTGAATATATTTGAGTGCCTTGTTGATGGCCCTCCATCGGTAATGACTGTCATCATCTCTCGGAAGAACGAGACACTGAGTTGGAGCTTGGAAACATAGCCAAAGCCAGTATATTTGTAACATATAGTAGCTATGTCGTTTGTAAACATTATGACTTTGTGTAAGTTGTAGATTTTCTATTGCGATGAAAGTGCGCTAGGGTTCTCGGCATATTGAACCCTCTCATGTAACAGATGGGTATCCTCTGATGCTATTAAGTTTCTGTTTCCGATCCAGGCGGGTCGGCTACCTAAGCCATGGCGGCCCACATCTAGAAGTTATGTTCCTGCTTTGTTTCACGACGCTCGTTCTCTCGCTGGGCTTCCGTCTCTTGTTGAAGGTGACTTTGGGCAGTAAGCTTCAGCTCGCCAGTCTTCTCCTCAGCTAATAAATACTGATCGGTACTTTCATCGAGATTGCTAGAGCCTGATACTGAACATGTAGGGATCGATATATCCCGTCGAATGGGGTGTTCGCTACCAGTTGCGACAGTCCCGATATCAGAAGACCTCTGAGCTTGCATGAGGGGAAAAATCACCCGAATCGAAATACTTCATCCTCTTCCATTGAACATTGAGTCAGGTTGATTCTTACTGGTTATAGACAGAATATATCTACTAACTTCTAACTGGTGATGAAGAAGCTTCCCTCTGCTAGGAACTATTCCATATCGATTTAAGAGACGGTTGTTGTTCTCTGTATTGAGCTCGGAGGTTTCTTGCTGGTCCATGATAATAATTTGGGACTATGGATAAGTGACTGATTGAAAAAGGGAACAGGTTGAGGTGTATTTAATTGTCGGTTCCTATTGGCATAGTAATCCTCAAAAACATTTCGTTGAAAATAGAGGGGTCGGTGTTAGACCCAGTATTTGAGAGCAGGTGACGTAGTACGGGCATCAAGGCATGTGTCAACTACGTACGTACGTACCATGTGTCCTATTGTGGGGTGCTAGCTCCTTTCGCACCGTTATCACCATCATCCTGATGTCAACCTACTTTATCGTCTCTTTATACTATCTCTTTGAGCGGCACAAGGCATCAGTGAGGTCACGACCGGGGTCGGGGGCCAATCAAAATGATCGCGACGATCGGTACATTCACCCACACCTAAATTGGCGTGTGATAGAGGTACCAACAGTCAGCATTGTTACAAATCGCTACATCACATACTTTGCAACCGTACCTAGTCTTCCGGCACCCTTGATTTCCTGATATCGGCTCGAGATAGCCTCCTTTTTCCTTCCTTTTTTTAAAGGGTCGAGGCTGCCCTTGCCGGTAGCCTTTGCAAGCTAAGCAGGGCGAATAGCTGCCTCGGCGGACATGATTGATATCTCTTTGTAGGTGATTTTGCCGTGCTTCTATATCCTCGATGTCTTCTTCCTTCCCTGACCGACTTCTCTTCCTTGTGCCGCCTTCAGCAGCATATGTGTTGAAAATCGCGTTGCAGATGCATTCCTTCCAAGCTCGTAGCGTGCTATAAGGCTTCCAACGAGGGTGCCGGGTCTTCTTTTGCAAAATGAAGCTATTCGCAAGTGCGACTTTGAGGAGGAAGCTCCAAAGCAACGCCTGCCACGGACCGCGGCGGAATCGATGCTCATACGTCGTATAGGACCTTATCTGATCACCGCGGTCCACGTGATTCATTTCATCGTTATACTGAGCGGCAACAGTAGGTATAGGGATCATTTTGAAGCTATTCCCGTTAAAAAGGCGCTGTAGCTGTTGTGCCTCTGCCTTCGTGCCTCTCTTAGCCGGCAGCTTCCTCTTTTTTAGTGTGCGCTTGTGAGGGGCGCCGCTGTGCACAGTTGAAATAAAGAGCACTACGCTGCTATCCTTCTAAGCGATTTGGATAACCTAGGGGGAATAAAAAGGGACAAATTAGTAAGGGAAACACAGCTAAAAGTCGTCTATACCTGTTTATCCGGCATCGGGATCAATATGACCTCGTTATATCTCAAAGGCGTGCCGTCAGGAGCTTTGCCGGTCTCTTTTATCCGCTTTATCTCGGTGCTAATGCCGCAGTTAGGGCGTGCCGTGCCTGTGGCACCAAAGCCAAGCTGCCGAAGGAGGCGGAAGAGCTGCGGTGACAAGAAGAGGTTATCTGTGAAGACATGATATATCTAAGGAAGCAGCCTTTTTACTAGGTGAACCACGATGCTCTGTGTATTACTGAGAGGGATCTCGGTCCGTAGCTTTCCCTTCTTGCCTTGCGGCTTCGCTATAGGTAGGTTAACGATAACAGCGGTATATGGTGATGACTTTACATGCCAAAGCCACCGAAGAAAGAAGCCCTGTTAGGCGATAACCCAGACTTTGAAGCCTACCGGTATAGGCTTTCCCTTAATAAGCGTTATCTCTTTCGATCTGCCTGTAAACGGCACCATACACTCATCTACAGTCAGATTAGTCCCTGGAAGATAGAGCTTGTTTAATACCTTCTATATAAGGTCAGACCACTCTTCAGCCGCTTGGAAGGTCTTTGGAAGATCCCCCTTATTCCTTACATCGACTTTGGTGTAGTCAAAAGTATGGAAATACCTGTTGATTAGCTCGAACTTCCGTAGCGGCATGAACTTAATAATTGAGTGAAGAGGGCGCTAATCTCCTAGGCTAGGTGCCCTCTAATGGTCTTTTATTGATATTTCCCTATGAATCCCTAGGTAAATAATGACTCTAAGCCATATATAAGCCGTTAAAGTAGAGATGCCTTCCTATTTAAGGATGCGTGAGTGTTTAGAAAGGGGGGTATTCTAGTTATTAATAATGGCATTTTTAAGTAAGTAAGTGACCTAGCTGTTGGTGTAGTCGACCCATGACTGTATAAGGGAAATAGGTATAAAAAGCTGGAATAATTCAAGTGGTTCCTTGGGCAGAGGGTTGATCTTGAAATCATGATATTCTAACTTGAAAGGTTGAAAATCATCACCGCGGCCCTCTTCGGGCGGAAAATTAGGCACGCCGGTGGGGTCATTAGCTGCTCTTAAAGGCAGGGTATTAAAGCTGTGATTATCTAAGCTATCTCGTATCTTTGAAGAGCTTATCGTTTTAATTACGACAGGCTAGGGGCTATTTGTGTGAGGTTTTTGATGAATTTGGTGGTGAAAAATTAAGCAGCTATCTGACGAGAACTTTATATACCCCGCAGGTACTAGTGTGGTTAGTAAGTGAAGTGGGGCGAGTGACCTTTTGATGCCTTGTGCCGCTCAAAGAGATAAGCCACATGCTAGTACGGTTCTCCGGGGGTACAGTGCTCGGGATTCAAAGATCTTCGGGTTTGCCGAAGCTTATGCTCGATTAAAGAGTTGATCTGGCTCTAATTAATAATGCGTTAATTGTTGTTCACATTGCGCATCAATGGTAAATGGAACATTTATATTTATTCAACTTTTATTAAATCCTGAGATGACTGTTCTTCTTGAGTTTATATCTCTAAATGATTTCATCCTGGACTCTAAACTCTTGAATTTAGGATTTTCAGACAGATAGTCTGGATCCTAAGGAAAGAGGGAGTCTTGGATCTCCCAATACTAATTTCATTTAACGAGATTATGTGATTTTTTAAGGTATAATATGAATATGTAAAGACGAAAAAGCTTCCTTAAGAGTTTTTGTCGCTTAACGTTTGCGCTTCAATCCCACGGTAACGCCAGCAGAAACTTGAATAATGCCATCTGATGCGACCGGAATCTGTAAAGACACTGGAAGTGATAAATCTGGGGGTGAAGATATCAATGTCTCAGGGAATGCGCTCACTTGTGAATCAACACAACGCACTCTCTGACCTCCCGAGTGCTTTCTTGCAAGGCCAACCTGCTTGAGAGATATTTTAGTAGATAATCTCTTGTCAAGTCGTACTGTCTCGTTGACTGTATTTTTAATCCTGTACTGAGCTCTTGTAAATGTATCGAAATCTGACATGGTCGACATGCCATCACCAGAAGTCAACACGGCTACCCTATGGTTGATGTAGGAGCTGTGTTCATGGGGTCGAGTATGCTTAATGGCCCTTTCTGAGAATGAGGAAAATGCAGCAGGGCAAGTAGATTCCAAGGCTTTGTCGGACGCCAGAAGTTGGTCTTTCGCTGGAAGGCGGCCAAGCTCCATCGACGACGATACCAAGGTCTGTCTCCCGGAGCCGACCGCCTCATTCGTTTTGTGGCGCTTGCACCGTCTTTTCGGTAAAGAAGTGGAAAAAGCGTGAGTGGCGGCAAGGGCTGAATCTTGGCATGGCGGGTG